ACACACTCTTTGTGCGCCACTTTTGTGTAATTTGTTTGGTCTATTAATAAAGTTAGTTATGTGTGTTTCTATTTCTTCTACTGATTAATGTCTATAGTTATGTGGGTTGTTGGTGGCTGTAAGAATCTAGTTTAAAAGCTTTACAATTTTGTTTTGTGAATTACATCGATTCCGATCCGAAAATTTTCAATTTTTGAACATTGTTGTTTATTCTTCATTTTGAAATTTTCTTTTTAATTTTTTTTTTCAAAGTGTTGGATCAGAGCTGGATTACATACGAAAACAAGCACGAACCCGTATTTCATTTGATAAAACTCGGTTCAAGCTCGAATTATAGCAAAAAAAAATGAAAATATGTAGAAAAAGAAAAATCAAGCCTTGATTCGTGTTCGACTCGATTGCTTATACAACAAAATTCAAACATTTTAAATGTTCGGTAAAATTCAAACAAATTTGAACAATCATCTGTTCAACTCCACTCGATTCGTGTACACCCGTATCGACTCTATACTTTTTTGGGCCAAAGTTTCTTGGACATTTACGCAGTTGGGGCTTGGGTCAGAATATTAAATTGGCCCAACGAATATCCTAATAAAGTGGGCCCGTTTAGTATTTAATTAAATTATCAATCGTTTCCCCTATTGGGCAAGCCCAATACAACAACATATTTTGGACATTTTTAATACTCTCGTGAAATAAATGGGCTCAATTGAAAATCAAAAATTTACTTACAAGAACAAGTAATATCTAATTTTTTTTGAATAATTATTTTCATTAATAGGATGTGTGCGTGTGTGTGTGTGTGTGTGTTATTGGGATTAAATATATTTTGACTTATTAATTTAAAAGAAAAATATATAATTTAGATTTTCGTCAAGAAAGCGTGTGTACGTGTACTTGTTGGTGAGGTAGCCAGCTGAATGAAAACGCCACTTGCCACCGACACGCTAAGCCGACGAAGACATTATCCAATTTATATTATTAACCGCCCCTTCAAATTTATCATAATTAAAAACTACACCCCACAATTATAATTTCTTTTTTATTACCCATATATATTTATAATAATAAACCATCAATTAGTCGTTGGAAATTGGGTATGGAGCCAATCACTTCCTGCCACTATAAAAAAACACTGATGCAACCAATAAAATTTTATATTAATTATATATAATTATATTTTATGAAATTAATTAAATAAATTAAATAAAAATGTAACACATCGATAGTAGGTGGCATGTGATTTCTTGAAGGAATAGTTTCTCTCTTTTACTGTTTTAATTTCTTCCAGATTCCAGACAACAAAATTATATTTATTATTCATTCTTGGTTACCACAATTATTATATTATATTATATTATATTTAGGCAAGTGTAATAATATATAAAACTCACACACGCACACAACAAGCTATTCACATTTATTTTAATTTTTTTTATTTAATTTACATTGATATTTTTTATTTTAAATAAAATAATAGGATGATTGCCCTACAGACAATGCCAGTGAATGAATTTGATTATGATGGTTATTTGTGAGGTCGAAGGTGACAAATAAATAAAAACAAATTAATTTAATTAGTATCATATATAAATATAACTGTGATGTCAACGAACCACCAAATACAAAGACATGTCATATATATGTTTTTCAATGATAAATGAATATTATATAAAATACCACTTTGATTTATCTTAAAGGGAAATTAATAAATAAAAATAAATAAAAAATTAAAAAAGTAGGAAAAGGGATTTTCTTGATATATGTATGATTTTCCCCAATTCTTTTACTATTTCAATTTTAATAAATACATATTTGGTTCTTTGACCTAATTTTGGTGATTATAAGAAGACATTAAAAAAATAAAACAATGAATTTGAACGTGTAGAACAATACCATAGACTGATTAGCAAGTCATAGTTCATTAATTAAACACATAAATCCTCTGGACCATCTTATTTTGTAATATAAAATTGCATATATGATTCCATTTGTAGAGGACAATATATATTTAAAAAAAAGTCATTACTACTAACTAGCCTGTTTTAATTAATGAGATTAAATTACTATGGTTATCTATTGCTAATAGACAACGGAAAATGGTGAAACTTCATAAACGCTAACTTTATGAACTATAAGAATCTGCCTACGGCCAGTTTAACTAAATTTATTTTATACAGCTGATAAGTTTTTATGTTTGATAAGTTATTTTAAGAGCTCATAAATTGTTACAACTTATTTTTAGAACTGTCGTTTTAATTTCTCTTATTTGTTCTACACCAGCTTATTTTAAAAAAAAAATTACCAAACACTTTAAAAAAAACGTATAAACTGTTAAACATCTCATTTATAAGTTCTTTTTGACAGCTTATAAGCTTAACCAAACTCGTTTCTAAGGAAATGTAGGGTAAGTGCAAAAGTAATGCTTTAACTAACTATAAATGAAAGTACTAGTAAAAAGAGATTATAGTGATGATAATTAATTTTCCTTATATATATATACTACACCATGGTGAAAATTCAATTATTTATATAATTTTGATTAAAGTAAAAAAAAAAAAAAAAAAAAAAAAAAAAAAACAAAGGTGCAGGAGTAATTAGAAAGGTAGTAGGGAAAAAGAAGTGCATTAAAAGGAGGGAAAAAGGAAATACAACTAATTTGATGGGACTCCACTTAACGGATAATTTGATCAAATGTCAACATTTTTAGATGCCTCTTGTTTCCTTTTATTATCTATTTATTTATTTATTTATGTATTTATTTGCCTCTTGTTTCTTATTTGCAAATATAATGTGAAAAGGAACAATATTAATAAAACGAGTGAAACTCGCATATTTGAAAATATAAAAAGAAAAATCCATTGGGTCAAATACTATCACATTCGAAAAATAATATATAAAATACAATTTTTTTTGGAGAAATAGTAAGGTTTTATGTGATGTATTTATATGTATTTTTATTTTTGTACTATGTAGTTTTGAAAAAAAAAAAAGAATGAATACGAAAAAATTAATTTGACATTTGACATTTGACATTCTAAAAAAATTTCTTCATTAGCTTTAAATATTCATAGGGGTTGCATTACGTTTATTTATTATGTTTCAAGTGTACAAGCTTCTAATAATTTTTTTCAAGTGTACAAACTTCTAAAATGCTATATTTCAAGAGTGCAAAATAGGATTTTGCGTTAATATTTTCCGTAATTGTTTTGCAATAGAAAATTTGATCTTCGTAAAATATTAGTGATATGCTTAATTGAATTACCTCAATGGGCTCGCTAGTTATTTCTTGTATTAGAAAGGTAGAAGCTCAAATTAAAAGCCCACTTATAAAAAATGGGTAAATAACACTTACCCCATATAGTTTGGATTTTGTGCACATGACCCCCTTTTACTTTTAATATTGCACATGACTCCCTTGTCTTTTAATATACACATAACCCCTTGTACTTAAAAAAAATCATCCTAATGAGCATGATTTTTTAAAGTAAATGGGGTTCATGGTTACAAAATTCAAATTACAAGGAGGTTATGGTTTATATTGAAAGTATAAGGGGCTCACGTGCACAAACTTCAAACTACAGGAGATAAGTGCTATTTATTAATTATGTTTATAAGACTTTCTTTAAATATATTTTTCAAAACATATTTTTCTTGTTTAGGCCAGTTTGCCGTTGCTAATGCCTTTAGCCAATTCCAATTCTTGATTTATCACGTTAAGTATATATTGATTGAGTCAAATTATTATTATTATTATTATTATTATTATTACGAATTTTTCATTGACATTCATGCTCAAAAGCTCCAATTTCATACAATTTTTTTTAATATATATCGCTATTAAATACTTAACATGTAATAAATGCAAAATAAATACTAGTGCGACAAATATTTTTCCAATAAATAAAATTAAAAAGTTACTTCTAAATAGATTATTACGGCCACCTCCCTAAGGTAAGATCAAATTACAAAAAACTCCCTCCAGTTTGAATAATTACAATCACTCCTTTCAACTATGAATCTTCTTACACGTCCATCATTATGGAGTCAATCTGATATTTACACATCTTATGATCATCTTGTTTCAAAATGTGGAGCTCAAATGGAGTAAAACGAGTACCAACTGGAGAATATTCCACATAAGTTAGAATATTTCACTAAATTCGACAACACAAGGGTGAATTTGTAAAAAAAATTACAGTTAAGGGGGTGATTATAATTAATCAAATATGAGGGGATTTTTTTATAATTTAAATTTATTTCAAGGGTGACTGGAATTTAACCAAAAAATAAAAGATGGTATGAAAAGAGCAGCCTTCCCAAGTGAAAAAGGACCATCTTTTATTGTGATTCCCGTGACTTTCTCTTCCAACGGCAACAAATTTTTACAGTAAGATCCAAATATCTTTTATTATATGTGCAAACATACTACTGAAAGCTACACCACATTTTTTTTAATTTTTTTAATTAATTTATTTAACAGATCATGATTGTAATAACTAATAATGGCTGAAAATTTAGGTGCCCATCTAAAAAAAAAGGTGCCTTCTTTAATTTCATTTCTAATAATTGCATTTCAAGAAAAGATAACACAGTTCCGCCATTAAAATAACAGGCACCACTTACCGCTGTTACTCTCTCTCTCTCTCTCTCTCTCTCTATCTATCTCTCTCTCTCTACAATAAATAAATACAATTATGCGTATATATATATAATCAAGACATGTAGGAGTGAAAGAGAGAGAGAAGAGAGAGAGAGAGAAGAATTCTGTGGCTTTGGATTCTTCTAGCAGATCGTGCCTGCCAGCTTTTTTTTTTGTGAGAAATGGGGTACGCAGGAAGTGTGCAATATGTATATATTATATACATATATATCCTGTAATTCTTATTGTTATCATTTGATTGAGAAAATATTTATTTTCTATATATATATAAATAATTTCCAAAAATTATTTGGAGAGCTTTTGTGAAAAGGGTCGTCTGTCTGAGCATTGATAAAGGTGAAGCCTTTTTTTTTTTTTTTTTTTTGTTCTGGGCCTTCATTTTTTATTTGAAGATTTGGGTTTAGCTTTATAACCTAGAGAGAGAGAGAGAGAGAGAGAGAGAGAGAGGTGGAGGAGATGGCGGTGGTGGCGGCGGTGGCGCTGCTCATTGGCATTCTGAGCTTCACCGGTGCAGACACAGATCCAACTGATGGTAAGTCAGCCTTTCTATTTACTGTGTGTGTGTGTGTGTGTGTTTCTTGGAATGGGATTCTGGGTTTGTTTGTACTGGATATAATGGTGTTTGTACTAATTTTGTTATCCTATTTTTGTGTCTGGAAACAATGAAAATCAAGATTAGATGAGCTGATGTTGACAGGGTTTGTAAATATAGTGATAAAAAAATCAAATCTTTATAACAATCCACTACAACTAAATGGGCTTGTGACAATCTAACAACCTGAATTTTTTGTCGAAAAATTTCGACACATTATTAAAGAAATTTACCAAGATAAAGTCTGCATTTCGGAGAAGCCACCATTTTAATCAGTTAACTATAGCTAAACATGTATTTAGGTTCAATCAGTTAACCATAGTTAAACATGGTGTATAATTCTCTTACAGAAATCCGAGTTGATTGCTTGAACACAGAACACTTCGATTTTCTGTTTTTTTAGGCTTCGTATTGAATCATGAGAATTCTATTACGCAGTAGAGTTACATAGATAATAAAAATTGTATCTTGAGTCTATTGATCTGTAATTTGACTTTTTTCGAGAAGCTATCGAAACATATCCTTTTTTTTTTTTTCACATTCTTGAATTATCTCCGTTTCGTTTGAATATGAAACTGGTAATAAAAACTACTTATGTAATATGTAATTACTTCTATATACAGCTTCGACTCTCAATGTATTGTACACGAGTTTGAATTCGCCTCAGCAACTCACTAATTGGAAGCCAAGTGGCGGTGACCCTTGTGCCGAGTCATGGAAGGGGATTACTTGCTCTGGATCAAAAGTTACAGAAATGTAATTTTATACAGACCCCTTCGATTTTTTTCATTTATGTTACTTTCTTGATTTTAAATGTAAGTCGACTTTCTTTTTTTCTGTTTCTATTTTGTCAGAAATATTCCAGGCTTGGGACTTAACGGGAACATGGGTTTCCAGCTAGATAAGTTGACATCCGTCACTACTTTGTAAGGAAAAAAAACGAATTTTCAAATTCGTCGACTGATATTAGTTACATTGAAGTTTGAATTTTCTTGATCGTATTTTCTGATCCGATTTTGCAGTGATATAAGTAACAACAATCTTGGAAACCAAATCCCGTATCAGCTTCCTCCGAACGTGGAAAGATTGTAAGCTTCATTTTGTGCAGTATTAGTATTTATTTTTTTAATTTTGTTTTTTCAATTTCGTGTATCGATTTCGTCTCACTTTTCTATTATATAAACAGAAACCTTGCTGGAAATGGCTTCAATGCTGGCCTTCCATATTCGATTTCGCTGATGGGTGCTCTGAAATACCTGTTAAGTCATGTTCCTTAAACTTTGAAACTAACATGAAATATTTTAAGGCTCGTTTTTTTTTTTTTTCTGACAAAACGCGACAATTTTTTTCTCCGATGGCAGAAACTTAAGTCACAATCAAATACAGGGCCAAGTGACTGTCCAGTTCACCTCACTTACTGGTCTCACCACATTGTAAGGCGAATCTCATTACGCCTCGTTATATTCATGACTAATAAATGTCGATAATTTTTATTTTTTATTTTTCATGTATTGGCTCACTAAGTATAAATTTGTCTTATTGTTTTAGGGATTTCTCTTTCAACTCCTTCACGGATAATCTTCCTCAAAGTTTCCAGTCACTCACAAGTATAAACGATATGTAAGTGGAATACATTTCTTTTTAATATAATTCTATATCTTCGAGTTTGGCCTCGGTTCGATTGTGTTATTGCAAGTGATTTGTTAGTAATCCATTTGCATATGCAGGTATTTGCAGAACAATCAATTTACGGGAACTCTTGATGTACTTGCTTTACTTCCACTTCAAAATCTGTGAGTTCCATTTATATATTCTGACTCGTAAATTTAAAGGAAAAAAGGAGCTATTTCAATACTAAATTAATGATTTTTTTTTAATTTAAGAAATGTCGAGAACAACCGTTTTACCGGATGGATTCCCAGCCAATTGAAAGGCATAAACGTGCAGTAAGCATCTCACGATCTATCTATATACATTTGAATATACGTAATATACTTCCTAGTATATGCATTGTTTTTCCCTCCAAAAATAAATATTCTGATATTTGCTCTGTGGGCATCACTTACCAGATCGAATGGTAATTTATTAAACTCCGGGCCAGCACCTCCACCGCCACCTGGCACTCCTCCAGCCACCAGGCCCGTTCCAAATCCTAAATCTGGCGGCAAAGGTGGTTCGTCCAACAATGGAGGTAGTGGGAGTGGAGATAGCAAATCCGGTATTGGAGCTGGTGCTATAGCTGGAATCGTTATATCCGTTTTGGTTATCGGAGCTATAATTGCATTCTTTGTCATTAGAAAACGATCCAGAAAATCATCTCCCGACGTTGAAAAGCTCGGTGGCAGTCAGCCTTTTGCTCCTCTACCTTCACAAGAATCACAAGGTCCTTCGTCTTTAATTATTTGTGTGTGTGTGTGTATATATATATATATTAACTGTAATAATAACAAAAATACTATGTTCGACATGCAGATATAAAGGCTGTTCAAACTTCATCCACAGCCAGCATAAAAGCCTTTGAAACTCCCGCCATGCTGAATCTGAGACCTCCTCCGTTCGATCGTCACAAATCGTTCGATGAAAATGATGACTCAGCAAAGCCGATTGTTCCTGTCAAGAAAGTCAACACTGCTCCCATAAATTCTAAACTGTACACGGTTGCAGACTTACAGATAGCTACAGATAGTTTCAGTGTCGAAAATCTTATCGGCGAGGGGTCTATCGGACGTGTTTACCGAGCCCAATTGGATGACGGAAAGGTATATAAATATACATACATATGTGTGTATATTTGAGGTTCGAGATTTTATTTATTGATTTTTTTTGTGGATACACACAGGTTGTTGCTGTAAAGAAGATAAATTCATCGGCTGTGTCCAATTCCGAAGATTTTCTTGAAATAGTTTCGGAAATATCGAGATTGCATCATCCAAATGTAACTGAATTAGTGGGATATTGCTCTGAGCATGGACAACACCTTCTAATTTACGAGTTCCATAAAAATGGATCTTTGAATGAATTTCTGCACGTCTCCGATGAATTTAGTAAGCCTTTAACATGGAACACGCGTGTGAAGATTGCATTGGGTACCGCACGAGCACTAGAGTAAGTTCCCATTTAGCACTTTCTTGATTTTTTGTCTTTAATTAATTTTTTTTTGACTTAGATGTTTGTTGCCTTCTTTTATTTAAATAAGACATTCCACCTTGGAATATTGGTTTTTTTTTTCTGCAGGTACTTACACGAAGTTTGTTCGCCTTCGGTTATTCATAAAAATTTCAAATCGGCTAACATTTTACTCGATATCGAGCTCAATCCTCACCTCTCTGATTGTGTGTTGGCTAGCCTCGTTCGTGATCCAGATCAGGTAGTTATATTTATAGCAGCTTAAAATTAGAAGCTTTATAATGCTACAATAAATACAAGTCGAAAATATATATATTCTTTTACTATTCTTGATTATTATTAATATTATTTTCAGGCATCCGGCTATAGTGCACCGGAGGTTGCCATGTCAGGTCAATACACCATCAAAAGCGATGTGTACAGCTTTGGTGTCGTCATGTTAGAACTTCTCACCGGACGCACTCCGTTTGATAGGTATGCAAAATATTTTTTTTTTTTTTTTTTTAATATCATAGCTTTTATTGAGTAAATTTTGTTTCGTTGCTGACTCAGCGCAAGGCAAAGATCGGAGCAATCATTAGTTCGATGGGCGACACCTCAGCTGCACGATATCGATGCACTCTCTAAGATGGTTGATCCAGCTCTAAAAGGGCTTTACCCAGTTAAATCCCTCTCCCGTTTCGCTGATGTCATCGCCCTCTGCGTTCAGGTAACTCGATTTTACTATCATTTATACGAAAACTCTCTAACTTCTTGGAATTTACAAAGGAGGACTCGATTTATTCGATTATTATTTTTTATGACCACAGCCGGAGCCGGAGTTCAGGCCCCCGATGTCGGAAGTGGTACAAGCATTGGTGCGTTTGGTACAACGTGCGAATATGAGCAAGAGAACTTTTGGAAACGAAGGAGCGGCTCGATCGGATAGTGCAGATGCTGAGGAATATACTCCTTAAATTTTTCAAGATTCCCTTTTGGACCATTGAGAACAAACTGCACCAGAAAAAAAAAAAAATTTAACAGCATGTATTTGTTTATATAAATATATATTTTCCCCTTTGCCAAAAGACCAACCATTGTGTACTTCATAACTCTTTTCTCAATTCTGTTTGTATTATATAAAGAGTAGGTCATAAAAAAAAATGTTCATTCTTGGAAACTTGGTGGTTTGACTGTTTTTTCAATGTTTGATTTGAGTTTATTTAAATTCATTAGCACAAAATTAAATTCGAGTGTCATAATACGTAATAAAAAAGGTGTTTCGAGTGTCGTTTTCATTTATATAAATTTTAGGCTAAATTATAGTTAAATTACGAAAAAATCCCTCCTATTTGAATAATTACATCTACCCCTCTACCCTTAAGTCGCGATGAATCGACGACTTTTTTTCTCCACATTGCGTGAATAATAAATATGCCATGGGACTACGAAGATAATAATCACTCCGTGTATCAATAAAAACCATCTCAACTGACGGGGCAACCTTACATAGTTGCACAAGGAAGTCGCGTTCGCGTGACAAAACAACAAATCCAACCATTTCAACAATCTTAAGATTCTGATGATGAAATTCAAATGCCTCTCTTGAACTTACATAAGGAAACGACCCTTTCAGTTTCTGCCACGAAAAATACCAGATGATTAACTTGTTAAATAATACTTAACTAACTAACAAATTAGATAGTTACGTTTGACAGTTTGACAGAAGAAGCAAGAGAGTTAAGTTCAGTACCTGGACAGATCTTCGCATCGAAGACCGATAGTCCTTGACTGCGTACTCCATCTGTAAACATTCACGTAAGATATTACACGGAAATTTCGACCCTAATAAAAATCACTGAAGTTGATATTTTTTGTAGATGCATTGCCAAATAGAAGAATCGCGTCAATATCTACACTATTTTTTGGCTAGTTAAAATTTTCAAAAGCTAAGTGAAAAGGTTGACAAGTCCACGGAGAGCATTTTAATTTCATAATGCTTGAGCATGGAAATGATAAAGTGAACTTTCAATAAAATGAATTCGGAAATATAAAGTTGGATATTTAAATTGAGAACATTTATTACCTTGATTTTAAACTCTTCCAAGTTAGGAGATGCCTTGATCAATGAAATGAAGAAGAGGAGGCTTATGGAAACTATTGTTAAGGAACTTGAATTCAGCATAACTTGTTGGTGTGAAAGAAACATGCCTTTCTTTAGAAGATGAATGATCTCATATAAATTTGAATCAAGTTTTAATAAGAAATCAATCAAACCATTTTCTTTCCTCAATTGATGTTTGTATTCACTCGGTCAGTAAACCGACCGAACAAAACCGATAAATTGGTATGCACCAAATACCAAACCAAAGATTCAGTTCAGTATTCGTTATTTTTTTTTTTGATAATCAATAGGGAATTCAACTATTGAAATAATTGAATTTAAATATATTATAACACTAGAATGGAGTGACACTAATTCCCTTCCAAAAATATAAATAAAAGTTGTAGTGACACTATTAAATTTGCAAAGCATATGACAGAACTTTGCTAAATTTATACTATCTAGTCTTCGTTTGAATAATGGTGAAATTACTAAAAACGAAAGAAAACGGAAGAAACTAGCCGAAAGTTTTTTTTTCCGAAAAAAAGAACTACCTAAAGTTAATGTGACTAAATTGAATGTCGGTATTTGGCAACATCTCCAGAGTTCAAATAGAATTTGTTGCAAATATTGGATATTGCAGACTCACTCAGACCATCAACTGCCTCTTTATTGTGCAGAAGCTTCTGCAGTTCCTCCGAGGGTTCGAAAACCTAGTACGCAACACAGTGAGTGCTTATTAAGGGCCGGGAAAAGAAAAAAAAAAAGATTATCGTAAAATACTTCAAAAATCAAATAGGAACCAAATACTTTCACATTTTCGAATAAATTAAGACGTGTTGAACCATCCTTACCCACAGAGGAGAAGGGGAATTATCTGTGCCTTTGACACCACTTTCAGCTTTCTCAACGGAGGATTCGTTTGGATTAGAGGAGGCTTCACTCACTAATTGAAGAAGCTTTTCACTTCCCTGAAGAAAGAAAAAAATAAAAAATCGTATGAGCGATATTTTGGCAGTTGTTAATTTACAAAATGCACCGTTTGAAATGACAAATATTACGAAATTGCCTGACCTGTGTAGCTCTCCAGTGCGAGTAAGTGCGGAACAAGATCCAAAAGAATGGGATGTTAGGCAAAGGAAGAACCTGTAGACGATTTTTCTCATAACAATTAAATACAGAAATATCGAGAAAAAAATATTGAGGATAGAGCATATCTATATAAACATACCATGAAAAATGATGTCAGAGGCAGCAAGATAGCCGAGCCATATAGGTATTTCTTGTGAATAACCGATCCCCTGTTAAATTGAGCATGGTAAATATTGTACATTATAAATTTAATCCTATTACTGAGATATCAAAAGAAGATCGTCAATAGAAAAATTTACCTGAATGCTATATGTCGGAGTCTTCTACGGACAAGCCGTGGATTCAAACTGTGCACACAATAAAATTGAATTCGTCAAGCATAACAACAGTTAATTAATCAGAATCGTATTTGCGTCTATAGAGATAATCTGCAAAATATTGTTTTTTGTATTGTTTGCAAATTTCATTGTTGGCGAGATTACCTTGATGGGTACACGATATCCACTCTATTAATATCCTTGGGAATGGATTTGAAGAAGATTTCCGATGGCTTAACACGTGACAACAGCTTCAACCCCAATCTAAATGTAATGGCAAGATATTTCTTTTTAGTGTTTCTTAAATTGTTAAGATATTACAAATAATTCATAAAGAAAAATCAAAGTCAAATAACAAGACAAACAAAATAAGAAGATCATGTTTGTGTGAATATACCCATGAATCTTGTTCTTGATGGTTCCTTGGGGTGCATTCTCCAGATTACTCCAAGCTCTATTCATCTACGCATGTTCCACCACAGTAATTACATGAATATATAGAAAACCTAGTAATCATTTAGCTAGAATATATATATACGTACACACATCACATACTCAACAATAAGCAAGACAGTGTATAATTTTAAGTGAACGTATGCATATATTATCAAATTGATAATTAGCAAGACACAAATAGACCCAATCTTCCATAAATTAGAAAATTACTCAGCAGAGAAAGAGAATAAGTTCATATTTTCATATGAGTTATTGGTACAAAAAATCGATGTGTTATCTCTTCTCTTACTCGCAGGGCAAACATCTATCCTTCACGCATTGCTCGACAGATAATCAATTCGAAGAGCATTTTTTATGTGGAAACATATGCACAAGCTCGTCACATAATCTCATTAATGCGCCATACAAACAAAACCTCTTTGCGAATTAATCATTATACAACCCATACAGACTCAAACCCTTCACAAATTACTTTAGAATAGGCTATAGAAACTCGAAAAGAGTGACGTACACCAACAATCTAGTTACACATTGTTCACTAATCTGCACCGTAAACAATCATATTGCATAAAACATTCACAAGCCGAGTAATTCATGTGAAAATATCGGAAACATGAAACACAAACACAATCCCTTATGCATTCATTATAGTAGAAAATTTATGATTCTCATGAGGTATGTAGGAACAGACTAGCACATACTATTCATTAACGAGCAATATAAGCAAATAACACTTGATGTGAATCATTGAAAAGCCACATGAAAATCGCCCATTTGTACAACTCAGCAATAAGCAACATATAGCGCATATTTTCACGTAAATACAGAGACAATCAACACTAATTCACTAATACCGATTCATAATCCATATGTACACAGCCATTTACACGGAATCATCACATATAATAGTCAGAAGCAAGAGAAACGGCACATACTCATACGCATTACAAGTGCAGTCCAATTCCACATTAATCATTACTCAGCCGTACAAACGAGAGCCACGTTGAAATTAACCTAACACAAGCCCAACAAATGCTCCATTCATAACACAAAAATAAGCAAGAGAGTGTGTAGTTTCCATGTAACATGAAGGCAAAAAAAACTAATCCACATTTACGTAAGCAAAACCTATTTAGCATTGACCAATCACAATCAAGCATCAAATCATAATCCATTAATCAACAATGAACACAAACAAAAAAACACATTTCACTACGCAAATCAAAAAACAGTTGGTATATTCATTAAAAAGATCGAGACCTTGTTCGAGACGAAATCAACCGCAACTTCAACTTTTGAGTCGCCATCGGATTTTTTGCCGTGTTGAGAAAATATTCTGTTGTAGAGTTCTTTGAAAGTGGAAGGAGTGTTTGGAGATTGATCGCCGCGAATCGAAGGGTCGATCGATCGACTGAAACACCAGTTTCTTCCTCTGATCGGAAACACCACAACTTTTGCCCTCATTTTTTTTTTCGAATTCTGAAAAAAAAATCAAACAATAGATCTTGAGCTAGAGAATCTGTCAAATAAAAAATTTGGTTTGGAAAAACAAAATCGAAGATTCTCCGATACGTACAGAGGTTGAGCGGCGGAGTTGGGGGTTTTAGCTACAGTTTTGGGGGGGTTTTGACTGTAATTTTGCTAACCGTGGTGCTCTATCCACTTGGACTCCAATTTCCTTTTTTTTTTTCTTTTTTTTTTTTTTTTCTTTTTTTTCTTAAATTAAACAACCTCAATTTCTTATAGTTTTACCAAACTCCATCAAAATTAAATTTCATTTTATTTAATAATTTATTATTTATTTAATATTAATAATAACAAGAAAATTTACAAAAGTCTGAAAATTTATCATATCAAATAGTTCATTAAAAGCTCGTTCGATTTCGATTTGTAAACATAATAACCTATGAAGCTCAGCTCGAGCTGGAGTAGAAAAATAATATTAAAATATGTACAGAAAATCAAGCTACTCAATTCGTGTTCGACTCGATCAATGCTCTTTTGATCTGGACTATATTTGTTTATGAAGCTCAAAACTCATAAAGCTCGATAAATATTTGGAAAACAAGTTTATACAACCATGCGTTTCGTTCAATCCGGTTCACTTGGAAACCTAGTTATGGCGCATTCCTTTCTACAATATTCTCAACGGGCAAAAGTGGCCTAAAAAAACACGAAAAAAAAGAACAAATAGCATTTGCTTGATGAAACTCTTATTACATAGATCAACAAAAAAATCAGGTAATAGATCCCATTTACAAGAAGCAATACAAGCAAATGTTTCGAGAGATTCAAGACGAACTGACCGATCGTTTAATTAGGTGGAGTGACTCATCTTTGAGGAAAATTGCTAGTCAAGAACAGCTAAATTTTAATATACACAAATTAAATCCTAATTTACTCATCTTCTGCAATAAAATTCGGAAGTTCGCCCTGGCACAAGTACTCGTCACATACAGATGCTGATCCCCAGTCCTTACGTATCCGTAAAATATCCTCTGTGAAAGTCGATCCAGAAGATCCAATAAACACCGAAGACAAAGCACAAATAGTCTTATCCAACATTGCTTCAACCTTCAAACTCAAAAAAATTTCCAGTGTCAATAATAATATTTATTCAAACATAGGAGGAGTTCTTGCTATTTAGAGAAATCAAGATCAAGGGCTAATATACATTGATTATCAGATGAATGAATATAGTAAAGCCTTGTTTGGTTGGGGAGATTAGTCATGATTAACTAAATAAATGGATTTTGTTTGATGTTTGGTAACCCAATAATTTTCCGGGTCGACCCTGAAACATTAATTTACCATGGCATATCTTGCCATTTAGGGAGATTATGTCAATAATATAATTGGATTTTCATTAGATTATTTAATCTTATCTTACGAACTAAAAGAGGCCTAAGTGACATAAAATCGAGTTTATTGAACTAAACAAAAGAGTGGGACCCACCTGAGAATCTCCCTCGAGTCCATGCCTGTAAAGTAAAGCATCCCATTTTTCAGCTAAATTACGAGCAGGTCTTTGAACGAGCGGGACGGTCTTTCCATTCCATACAACAAGTGACTGCAGCAAACCAGTTTCACTAGCTGCAGCGTCTGTAGACAGATATACGACTGGAGTATTAGCCCTTTCAACCACTCGATTGATGCACTCTGCAGCTTGAGGAACGGGAAAAAAGCAACTCGGTTGCTTCGCATTACTGAAAAACAAAACCAATCGATAAATTCAATAAGAAACTGCATACTATCTCACAGATAAGATATGAAAAAAAGAATAATTAAATACCAGAATTTCAAGAAACCATGTCGGCGAAAATGAAGAGCTATGAAATCCTTCCCCAAGAATGTCTGGATAAAGCGATGGGCAGTGAGCAATATAAGCCGACTAGGCTCGATCAAAGTCTTGCATTTGTGGGCAATTGGGCCACCTGGCTGCATCACCCACTCCCTCTCCACGTCAGCAAAGAAAACATCTCCGACTGCGATGACATCATCGTCCGAAGAAAACTTTGCCGTGACATCATCGACTTTCCTCTGGTTCGGCTTCTTAACATCCTCCTTCCACACAGTCTCAATCTTGCCCAAAGAGAGACCCAACCCTTTCAACTTCTTCAGATGGTCGTCGTCCATGAAACAAGGCTGTGGTAAAGAGAAATAACACATGAATTTATCGATATGCAAATGGTTCTTCTTAATCTCTGCAAACTCCTCAAATGTAACTACCACTTTCCTCCCTAAACACTTGTTTATGGTCTCGATATCTAATACCCGATGGAACGGAAAATCAACCTTCGAACTCGGGATCACCAAAACCCGATTTAGCAGAGCTGCAAAAAACATATGCTTCTCCAAACAAATCAAATGATTCGACATTTGCCCTGAAACACAAATAGCTAACAAATACTTGTTTGATCTAGGCTTCCACTCAATCGTTCTTCGCTCCGATAATTTCTGATCTACCTTCCCACACATATTCCAACCAGAAAGACTTGCATCTGTGTTATTCTCATTCAAATCCGGAAATCCTTCACTTTCATGAGAGGACAATAGAATCCCTTGAATTTGCTTATTCAATGAAATCTGGCTGAAAACCCGCGATTTCAAGTCTTCATCAAACGAATTAGAGTTATTTACCGAGCTAGAATTCGATTGATTCTGCAATGTGGTATAATTCCACATCTTCAGAAGTTGAAGTTCCTGCTGCTTAAGCAGATACAAAGCCCTTAATTCCGACTCGCGCATTCGATTAAGGGGGGAATTACCTCCGATATCTTTAATCGTGGGAATACGCATCTGGAACAAACTTTTCAAATCGGTGGTGAAATACAGAATCAAAATCACCATGGGCAGAAGAATTGCGAGAAGATACCTCTTGTTGAATCCGCGAGCGGCGCCGGATAACCGGCCTCCGCCGTCGATACGGAGGGCGGAGCGGCGAGTGTGATTGGTGGGGGACTTAACGACGTCGTTTGGCCTGGCGTTTTGAGAAATCAGATTCTCGTGATCCTCCTCTTCGTCCGACGAATCTCTCTCCATCATTTTCCAATGCTTCTTCTACTAACTCTCGGTCGCGGACTACTTAAGCAATCACTCTGCAAATCTTTTCAGTAATGGCGAGATGGATGGGATTTGCTGTTTGGGAGGAGGAGTGAGAAAGTAGAAGAGAAATAATTGGGGGTGATTGGTTTGAGTGACAGGTAGAGTGAGAAGTAAGGAATAAAAAGCAACAGGTACAACTAATCCTCCATCATTGAATTCTGTTTGTCTGCTTCATCGGAGAAGAAGATCGTCGGTGGAAAGTGACCCATCACCGGCAGCAAATTACCCAAATCCATATCTGGTTTTTAATTTCCGATGGCCCGGCCCATAATATATTTTTTAAGCAACAGGCCCATTACCATAAATTTAATTTAATTTTTTTCTGTAAATAATAAATTTAATAATTATTTTTTTTATCATGATAATTTATAATAAATTTATTTGACAAATGAAATTATTTTGATATTCATAGAATTTTCAGAATATTTTATTTGACAAAGTTGGTAACATTTTCCGAATTTTATTTAGGGGTAATAGCAAATAGGCACATGACAAGGGCACTTAATTAAAAGAGGGACATCCAACTTTTTTGTCTTTCAAATAAATCCAACTTATTCAAACTTATTTGCAAATAAGGAAAATTCTTTTATATATACCAAAATTACCCCCAATTCATTGAAACTCAATTTAACTCAAATTTCATGATTTTCACTCCAATTTAGCCCAATTTCATCAATTAACCAATTTTAACCCTAATTTCATTTTTTACCCCAATTTTGACCCGCCACCACCGGAGACCCCAATGTCCCATACAATAATATTATTGTCTGAGACTGTAATTTAATAGCCAAAACAGTAATATTAATTAAAATATTTTTTTCTAAGAAAAACAATTCAAAAAAAAAAAAATCAACGCCGGAGACCGGCCGGAAAAAAATTTCAGGAAAAAAAAAATTTCAAAAAATAAAAAAATAAAAAAAAGTCAACACCGGAGACCGGCGGTCTCTGGCGGTAAACGCCGGAATCTGGCCGGAAAAAAAACATTTCAGAAAAAAAATTATTTTCTGAAAAAAAAAAAGTTTTGGGGGTTAATGTGATATATTTGTTTAAATTCGGGTAATATTAAGGAAGTTAAAGTATAATGGGTGGAATTGATAAGAATTATATTATTGAGGGTATTTAAAACAACGTGTAATATTAAGGAAGTTAAAGTATAATGGGTGGAATTGATAAGAATTATATTATTGAGGGTATTTTTGACTAAAGACATAGGGATGAGCTTAATTGAGAGACTGTTTTTTTTGTGGACCAAAATGCATTTAAGTCCCATGTGATGGGCCTTTTTGCCATTTGCCCTTTTATTTATTGTAATAAGATTATAATTCCCAATTATAAATTAATAGAATAAACAAAAATTAAAATATGATTTACAATGTTATTTCCTAATTTAAAAGGCTGATACGAATATTGCAAGTGCTATTACAACAAGTTTTCATCAGAAAAGAAATGCCACTATAGTTTCTTCTTCTTCTTCTTCTTCTTCTTCTTCTTCTTCATCACTTGATATAACTGCAATGCACAATCTGAGTTCATACATATTTAGTGTAATTTCCATTTTTATTATTATTAATTGTTGATTACTACTCGAGTTCATACATATATATAGAGTAATTTCCGTATATAAGTCTTTAGAAAGTTCGATCTTTAGAAGACACTTAACAACTATTTTTAAGGATACAAAAACATCATACGAAAAAAACAAAAAAGACGAAAAAGGGGTATGTATGTTATTTAACTTAGACGTACCGTAATTGTGATTAATCTCTAGATTCTGTACTGATCAGGTAGGTTCTGCAAAGTGGGTCCCACCGGATGGTTTGGTATCGACTTCCATGGGAGTTGATGATGTCACCCTGGGTGGTGATGTTGGCTGCACATCCACATCTGGATAACCTGCCTTAAATCTTGCTCTTAGCCCTTCATCCACCAATCGTACTCCTTGCAACTGATTCCCAAGTGATAACCACCTAACCGTACGCCGCAAAATTCAATCTTTTTCCGACAAACAAAAAATACTAGATACAATACCAGGTACAGTAACTAAAACGCAATTTCAATCAATCCATCCACTCAAGTTTTAAGTTCAACACTCTGAGTGATTTCGATTAGTAACAACCTGAATCCATTTTCATTCTACAGATCATAGTAATCGAGTTTCCTAATATAAACGGTTATCTTCAGTAACAAATATTTGCAATAGGAGAGCCGGAAAAGGAAGATAAGAAAGGTGATTGAGAAATCATACCCAGCTTTTACATTATGCATCCTTGCAAACAACTCCAGCTTTCTTGTCCTTGGACTCACCCTTTCCAGCATGGCGTACATCTATAATACGGAATGACGTGGGTGTTACAAAATATACAAATAAAAAAAGAAGATATATCTCATACAATAACGTCAAATCTATTTTTCATGTATCCGCATAACATTTAATACAGGTATATTTAGACCTTAATTATACGAAGAAGGCTGATGGGGCCCACTAACCTCATCTGGTTTACGACTTGTTTCGCGAACTTCGGCGACAATGACATCAGTGTCGATATTTCTGTTAACTTCAGGATTTCCCTTTACTCCAACAAGGCAATGCTCCTTGCTGTGGTTAAGCCAATGGCCTGTACGACCCGTTCTGATTATTCTTTGAAGTTGATTCGTCTTCACCCATATGATTTCCTCAATACGCGTGTACCCCCAAAGGTCCAAACTGCAAAACCGTATAATTTCAAACATATCAGATGTTTTTTTTACTTGAATATCCCATTTGCCGCTAATCTTTAATTGCCATTAATATTATTATGCAATTACAATTCCCATGTTACAACTCTTGATTGTTTTACTTACCCCCTTGTACTCTCTTTATATCTCACTTTTACCCCCATTGTACTTAGCAACCAAATTGCCCTACCTATTATCAGGGTTAATTACTTTGAAATGTTAACCTCAGTCTTAATTTAATACTCTTAAATAAATATTAAACAGTCACATTATCAAAAGTGGATGGAACTTTGTTACATTATAAGAAAAAGAGAACATACTAACTTGTAATACTTAAATGTATCTACTTATTTTATCTTAATTTCTTGAAACTTATTGTAATTTCCATTAACTACAAAATATACAAATAAATATCTTAAATATTTATTATGATACTCTTTTAAAATGAATTATAGGTAAAGTATATTAGCTTACAAAAAATATAAACTACTTTACTTCGGAATTTTTTTTTATATTTTCAAGATATATAAAAAAAACGATCACGAAGAGAAAGCATACCATTCCCTTCCAAGTTCCATTGCACGACCAGTAACCCAAAGAAAAATGAGACCGTCAGTCTGTAAAGCAGGAACATTAAGCGTGCGCATTTCATCGTCAGCCATAGTTCCATAAGGCAACTCCATATGAATATCCCAAGGCGGATCAGCCATAATAACTCCAAATTGACCTAAGATATCCATTCTAAACGAACGTATGTCACAGTTAATCCATTGTGGTTCACCAAGCTCTACTTCTGAGCAATAATGAGCACTTTGAGGCTTCAGTGACTTTTGAGGAGTTAAAGAATTTTGCCCCATCATCATAGATGATACATCGGGAGTCGAGTCCAGTTCATAATGAACATACTTGCATGTCTGTCATGGATTCAGATTTCCAGATATAACTAACCAAATAAATCTCGATAAAAAAGATAAAAAATAGTATGAGGGATCTAATGGTAATCCACCTTCATGTGACGGCAAGTGTCGAGAAACGAACAGTCCCCCAAATTTACATCGGTATGTGCAGCAATTATGCGCCGAAAATGAACCTATAATGTAATGACAGATTAATTAGATATGATTGTTACAAAGTAGTAAAGTCTTTCTTGTTTAAAGTACACTGAAACAAAGCCTACACCTCACCTTATCACAGGCAATGAAGGAACCAGACTGCCGTCGGCAATCTTCTTTCGTTAAAGCTGAGCAGTATTCTTTCACTTGTGAACCACCTTTGCTTTTGAACTAATAAAAAAAATCAGCACAAGTGTCAAAGATTATTACATTTATATCAAAAGTCTATTCGAAAATCAAGAAAACGGTGATTGCTCTTGAAACAAAACAAAACAAAACAAAACATGCCTTAGCAGCCACGGCAGTTTCTTTAGCAGTAGGCCGGTGGATGAGGTCTAAAAGCTCCTCCCCAGTTTTCGACTTTTGCATTTCCTTAAAACTCTTCTTATTCAATAAAGCCTCAAGATCCTTCATATCATCCTCTTCGGTCCTCGGTTTTACAAGTGTAGGAACCTGCCTATGCATAGGTGGCGGCACCCCAACACCTCTCGGCACCCCAATCATACCAATCCCTCTGGGGCCCATCATACCACCAGCCCCCCTTGGCCCCATCATCATCATAGGGGGCGGTTGCCCCCCTCCCATCCACATATCCTGCACACCAAAACCTCCACCATTCTCCCCACTTCTCCCAACTTCGGCACTATTCGAATTCCCCTCATTCAACTGCTTGGTTTCAGGCAGTTCTCTCAAAAGCCTAGTCCTATCAATATTCATAACCATTACTCTCGACTTTCCGCTCACAACAAACTCCTCCAGCTCAACGCTGCCGTTATCCTCGGCTATTGACCTCAAAGCCATCTCCACAGCAAGAATCGCCCCCGACTCACCCCCCAACTCCCTCAATGCTGCCCTCTCAGCTACTGTAGCTGAAGAATCATTCTCCAGCTTTCTCAAAACCGTCGAAGAATCGATCGGGTTGAACGGCACTCTCTCGAGCAAACACACGGCCACCATTGACCTAACAACCGAAAGGGGCCCGCCACTTTCGTCGAGCAAAGAAGACCTCTCCAACTCTCTAGTAGGTGAAGGATTCGAAACAGGGACTTTGGAATTGTTATTATTACTATTATGATTATTATCCAATGGGAATTTGGGGATATGGGGTTTGATTAAACAATTAGGTTTAGAGGGGAGAATTTGCGAGAGGGGAGTATATGGTTTGTCGTTGAAAGCAGAGATGGTTTTGAGAGAGAGGTCGAGAGAGGAAACAATGCCGGGGGCTAGGGTTTCGAGGGAGGCGATGATATCTAGCTGAGTTGTGTGGAGGGTTTCTGCACGAGATTCAAGCTGCTGTTTCATCTCTTTTATTGCTGAAATCGAATCTTCATTCGATTGGCCCTCCATCCCTTCTTTTTCTTTGCAATCTTCAACCAGTACGAGTGTACGTGTAGAATCTGAAAGGGGGAATTTTTTTCGTTTAATTGTAAACGAATTTCATGGCGAAAATCAATGTAAGTTGAGCTAGGGTTCTACGGAGGTTTTGGGTGTTTTGATCGGAGAAGAAGATTACCGGTGGAATTCTGCTAGCATCGAAATGGACCTCTGATTTTCAATTATCGGCCCGGCCCATTATTTATTGTTCTACAGTAATAGGCCCATTACGATAATAAACTTATATGTTGAATTAATTTCCCAAATATTTCAATTACACTTTTTAGTAATTGTATAAATTGTGTAAATTAAATAATTTATACAGATTTATTTAGTAAAAATATATAATATATAATATATGTTGAATTAATTATAAATTTTAAAGATGCATTTTATTATCCAAATAGTATTTTGACTAATTCCCAATTAAATTTTATAAATTAAAAAGAATCAAATTTTTAGACTCAATCAACACAAATCGCCGTCATAACAAAATTATAGTGTCAAATTCAACATAATCTTTTAAATTTCGAGGAATGTTCTCTAGTTTGTACTCGTTTTGTGTAAATATACAGTTTTTTTTGCACCACAATCTGATATATACACGCCAAAAAACACATCTTATGATTAACTTGCTTCAAAATGTGAAGCTCGAATGGGATATAACAGGTACAAACTTGAGAATATTCCAGTAGATTAACACTGCAATGGTAGAGATATAAGAAAATTTATAATTGAGTAGTGGTTGTATTATCCAAATAAACGAGGAGTTTTTAGTAATTTAACCGTATAATTTTAGAAGGGCCACGTAGCAAGCTTCGCATGCATTCTCGACGTTTCTAGTGTTGCTGAGTCAGATCATCTTCCTTTTCACAAGAGTCTGAACAAATACACAAAAAAACCCATCACTAATTAATTCCCACCGAAATAGAAAAAAAAAAAAGAATGTTGTTAATAACAAAAATGTTGTGCACAAAGCAAGGCGGCGCAGTCATGATCCGCCACCAAGGCCAAGGCCGGCGGTGGATGGTCGGCAAAGCCGCCAATCGCGCCGCCGTGCACGGCTCTAAGCTTCCAGTCCCCGATATCATCCCAGTAAGTACTTACCATTCATTTTTCCCATCATTAAAGAAAGATCTAATAATTAATCCCTAATTTTGATTAAAAGAATATTTTTTGTGCAGAGGAAGGAAGTGGAAAATGAAATAAATGTAGCCATGGAAGAAAAAGGAAGAAAAAGAATGGAGATAGAAAATGCAGTGGATTCCCAAATCAAGAACTGGAAAGTTCTCTACCTTGAAGACATTGTCTGCTCCAAGTAATAAAAATTAACTACTTACTAACTGGAATTACACATTTTACTGTGTGCAAATAAATCTTCACTTTTGTAATAACATCATCAATCTTTTGCTATGGTCAATGCTTTGAATGAAGACCACATCAGAAGTAGGTTGTGGGTTGTGACATATATACTGTTTCGATATTTCCTTAAAACATCTGGAATCTCGAATTCTTTGGTAGCATCGAAAACTTGAATACAAGAGCTAGTATATTACAATCTTTACTTCCTACAAAGATGGATAACAGCCTCAAAAGCTGGAACTAGAAAAAAAAAACACCTAGGTCTCTTCTGCAACTTCGACTAGCCTCCCACGAAGCCATTTCTTGACAGTTTTCACTTGTTTCTTTGATGATGCCTCTGCATTGTCCGACTGAAAATCCAGCCCATTTAACGATTGTTTCTGTGTCTGCACTGAAATCCCATTAGGGCTTGGTTTGTGATCTGGTGACTGTAAGCCATTAGAACGAATGTTTTCCTCGCGTTCGGGCATATCGTTGAAACTAGAAGCCGAACCATTCCCATTCATTAAATCCTGCAACATAAACTTGTCGAAGCTGAAGTTGTCGTTTTCTACAGCACTACTAGCTGATGATATGCTGTGAACTCCATTTACTTTTCTAGGATTGCCATTTGCCAGATTTAGGGTGTTCTCATCCATCACTAGTTTGAGATTCTGTACTGGTTCAATTGAATTCTCCGAGTTATTTTCTTTGTCGTCTTCGGAAGAAACTTCATCTTCGTATTCTATGGATTCAATTATCTGATATGCTTCGGCTATTAACATCCTGCTTTCCATTAGTGACGCTTGGGCAAGAGGGTTTTCCCTGGCTGCTATTTCGAGAGCCTCTGCTGCCTTTTCAGCTCCAGCAATCAATAACCTGCAAATATTTTACCACGTGAGAAATAATCATTTACAAAGAACATCGATCATAAAGTCGGAACATACTTCGCTCTAGTGACAGCTTCACTTTTTTTGTTCAATACAGCAGATCTTTGTGCTCTAATGTTTTTTAGCATCTCCAGCTTGGAACTTGCTAATGGGTCTTTGTAGGATGGGGTTTTACTTCTTTTTGTCCTAGTTCGTTGATTTTGGCTCTTGGACTCACTCTTTGCAAGATTATCTGTTTCTTCCGTATTTTTAGGGCCTCTTTTCCGAGACTGTCCATCAATGCTCGTCTTTCTCCTGGACTTTCTTTCAGTCCCTTCGGGAATGCCATGAAATTTGGCCAGACCGGAATAAACACGATCACGGTATTCCTTAGCAGTCACAAAAAGGAAGCAAAGTTCAATTTTAACATAGAATTTCTAAAACAACATTCGACTGTATAGAAAATCGGAATCTGAGAGCATGTAATAAAGGTCTTACAGGATCTGCCCATTTAGCAGCTATGGCTTCTGAGATCTTCCTCTTCTGCTCGGCTGATTTAGGTGCTCTCTTGCTCCCCTTTATTCTGGGAGTATTTCTTCGTTGTTCAACGCTCTGAACCCATTCCTTCTCGAGCTGTTTGCTCAAGACTTTGTAGGAGTCCCATTGCAATTCTTCCTCACCTAGAAAACCTTTTCGTGCAGCCACTGCTATTAGATCCTGCCATTGATGATGGCAAGTTTCTTGCAGCTGCAATCTCTCACGGCGTCTCTCCCACCCCAGACGGACACCCACTCCAATTTTTATTTTTGTTTCTTCGCTGAATTGATCATGAGAGAACATGAATTCTTCAAGAAAACTGATATCGAAATAGTTACTTTACAGTTTACTATGCGTAATCTCGAGACGTTTCTCTTCTTCAGAAATAATAGGTGTAGATAGAGTTCCCCAAATGGCTTACAGAACAATGCATATTGATAAAGCAGTTCAATCAAACTTTTTGCCACCATCATATATGTCTACCTCGAACATAAGCACTTCTAGAATATATTTTATAGACCTAAAGTTGGCAATAATTAGAAATTAAAGCGCATGAAAACATAGCACACCTTTGAGCATGTCCCAAGTTAACTAGCTTCATCTTGACCTGTTTTGGAGAAAATCATTAGTGCCTCGTTCGAATCTCCAAACTTGAATATGAACAGCTATTCACAAGCAGAAACCGTTATGCGGAATAGACAGGCAACTTAATGGTTGCACATGTAAAAAGAACAAAATAGAAGTTGCACATCAATGAAAGTGAAAACGATGGAAGCCTAGGTTAGCTGTGTAACTCAAACTAAGCAACAAGGTCTAAGTCATAAAATATTTCTTAGGTTACTCGAGCTAAAATCATCTGTCCAGACCTGATTTCACCAAGAATAACGGGTTGCTAATGAAGATAAAGGAACTGTACATTCCGGAATAGCTAAAGCAAGAGAGTGGTGAAATTTAATTCAAGATAACTGACAAGGATAACGAGAAAAAGGGAAACATTAAAGTTTTAAAAACTTGAAAATCGTAACCTTACGCAAGTCCTATTAACTCTGTATTACCAGCATAAATCACTACAGTTTCAAGAAAAATGCATTTGTTTTTACAATCTTGGTTTGTCCTTGTATTCTTCAAATTATTTTTATTGTTCTCATAAACTATCCTAGTTTCTTACATGACATCACCTTAGGATCTTGCATTGCCAGCTTGGTCCTCTCTTTGATCAGCTGCACCGTCTCTGCACAAATTTAAGAAATTTAAAACATCATTTTATCCGACTAAGACACTGTTAAATAAACAATTTTCAGGTAGTGCTAGTGCAAAGCATCACATTACCTGGTCTGTGCTTCCTGCCTTTGTTCCAAGGCGTGTTCCCTCTGTTCGCGTTGGAAATCCTCATCCGCCTCAATTTTTCCCTCTCGTCCAATTCTGCCGATTCATCTTCATTCGAAGATTGTGGTGGCTCAAAAGTAGAGGAACCTGAACTTGCCGAACCAATATCCATCCTCAACACATTTGTATACCCTTTCACCCTTTCCTTTCGGGGCACGCTAGTAATTTCAAGTGTAGCAACCGCCTTTATAGTTATCAGCCCGCCACGCCATACCTCAGCTCTCGCCAAGGTATAGCTTCTACTACCTTCTCTTCCTGTGATACAACTACTTCTCCAAGAAAACGAAGATGCCAAACCTAACCCTAACCCTAATCCCAATCCCTTATCATTGCCAAGTACGAGTCTATTACGGAAGTGGTTTTCGGACCTAAACGGTAGTATATTGTTCCGGAAACAAGAACAAGGCTGTGAAATAGCAATATCTGCAAGACCAATATAACAACATTTCATAGCTTCAGGCACAATCTTCACCTCCACTCCAATTCATTCAGCAAATTACACACAACACTCTTTCCAATATTACATAATCTACATAAATTCCAGCACAAGCATTTCAAAAACCGTAACAAAGCTGCTAATTCACAGTCACAATTTAAACAATTTCATAAAAAATAAATAAAAAAATCACCTAATAAAGGCATGGGGAGCTCATGAAGTCGGAAGTCCGTCCGAAGCTAACCACCGATTGCCGCCTTCTGCGGAGGACCACGCGCCGTCGCCGCCACTGTACTGTACTTAGAAATTGAACAGAAAACAAGGATTTCAACTGCGTATAAAAATGGAGCAAATGGAGAGCCACATATACATACATACACCAGAGAGTGAGTTTTGTTTGTCGCGGCCGCTGTGGATAGATAATGGTGGATATTTTTTTTATTTTTTTTAAACTTCAAACGGTTTCACACAATGGTCCGGGTTGCCGGTTGGACCCGACCCAAATAGCCCAATGGATCCTTTAGTTGAAGGCCCATTAAGGATTTTACACAATGGTCCGGGTTACGATTGGATCCGACCCAAATAGCCCAATGGATCCTATAGTTGAAGGCCCATTAAGGATTAGAATTTTTCCTGTGGCCCAACTCGGGAAATGTAATCAGTTCCCAATGTTAATTAATTATGGGTAAATTATGAAAAACCCCCTGAACCTTTAGGCTATATTATGAAAAACGTAATTACCAAAAACGCCCGACGTTTGTTACTGTGTTACACTGACCTCCTTACTGTCTGATTTTTGACGAAATCTTTTTTATTCCAGTGAATATTGCTAATTTTACCCTAGCAGACGAGACATTTATTGCTAATATTACCCATGTCGTAGCAATTCCATTTTTTTCCTGGTGTAATAACGCTCGTAATTATCCGGTTTTGATACTTTTTTAGGTTTTTTTCATCTATTTTTCTCTTACATTCGGATATGATTTGACGGTTATAATAAAAAATGTTTTCATCAAAATAAATCAAAAATTATTTTATATTTCAAATTCTTCTTTTAAAAATATATTTTCTCTAAGCAGTCAAATGTCAAATAAAATTGAACTTAGTTACATTTTCAGGAAAAACGTTTCTTCCACGGCTAACAAATAGTGTATGAACAAAATAAAAAATTAAATCAAATGGTCATCATTCATTTCAGTTCTCTCAAATCAAATCACTACCAATTTTCAATTCAATTCCTCTCTCTTGACCGGTCAAATCTTTGTACCACAAAATACACCAATAAGGCAATGTTACAAATTTATCTGCAACATACTTTCCATATATATATAAACACTAACCAAACGTTTGCAATTCAATCAAGCAACCAAAACTCAATCTAATCTTGATATATACCCACACAACAAATCAAGAAAACCCAAAAAAAAATGGAAAATCCATTAAATGTCGATCAATCTGAATCAACAGAACTAATCGGCATCATAAACAACAACAACGACGACGACAACACGATCATTTTACTTTTATGGATTTCGATCTCGATAATAATCACATCCATGTTAGTTAAGAATCAACAAGCAAACAAATTATTGAATTGGATAACGGGTACATTTCAAGAAGATCGTGATCTATACTCAATTACGAAAATGCCACCAATCGAAGAAGAAGAAGAAGAAGAAAGCGTTGAAGTAGTAGAGTGTGTAGTGTGCCTATGCCGAGTTATTAGAGGCGAAAAATACAAAATACTTCCTAATTGCAACCATGGATTCCACTCTCATTGCATCGATTCTTGGCTAAAGAGGCACTCAACTTGTCCACTTTGCAGAAGCTCGGTTACATCTATCTCATATTGCAATATCACAAATCGAGATATTATAACTTTTGATGTTTTAATATCTCATTTTGTTCGTGTGGTGGATCATTTTCGAGCATGGTTGCTTAATCCGATTAGCCCATCAATGGAGTCGGGTTTAGGACAAAATTGTCTTTCTTTTATTTGAGGGTTCATATTCTCTAAGAATTGTTCAACATTTTATTACATTATTGAAATTGTCCATTAATTTTATGTTGTTCATTATTTTGGACCTTTGGTCCCTTTGATTAGATGAAGGGCAATATTTGTAAAAATTTCAAAAATTGAAAGGCTATTATTAAACATGGATGTTGTCGCATGTTACTATGTAGCCACTTAGACATAGTTTATATTTAAATGGTAATCATGTAAGAGAGCAAGGAAGGATGATTATGATTAATTATGACATAAATAAATCATTTCAAATTAATCATTTTGCCCCTAACAAAGACTTTTGTCATAACAAAGACTTAATTAATTCCATGACTTCATTGACACGCTCCACTTTTGACTTTTTTACCCTTTTCGGTGGACAAATTGAATTGGGACTTTAGAAATTTTATTGGCCTAAAAGATTTTGGGGATTTTAGGGTACAATTAGAATTGAAGTTGAACTAATTTTTTTAAATTATTAAAAAAAAGAAAATGAATTTAAAAAAAAAAAAGCAAAATAATGATTTGTGGGAAATAAGTTAATGTGACTTTGTTCGCCATGGCAAGTGCAAAAGGGAACTTAAAAGCTTGACTCCACACCTAAGCAATAAATATTGTCTGTTCCTATGTATCTATTGTTTTAAATCAATATTTCATATGTTGTGAGGATCAAATATTTCCTATGTAAAAATAATGAAAAATATTACATTTTTCGTTGTAAAGTTTGCATCAGTTTTACATTTTGTCACATGTGTTCACAAGAAACACATTCAATCTCTCGTGTTTCGATAATTTGACACGTATGGTCATTTCTGTCAATTTAACTTCAGTCCATCAGTTAAATGATATGTTTGATTCCGTTAGTAATAACGAAAAATTAAAGAAAATGACCAAAAGTGTTAAAGTTATTGTAACATCAGGGACTGAATCTGTTTTTTCTTTTAACATGGGGACTAAATGCGAAATCTAGGTAAACTATATTTATTTATAATGCTAATTTCGGCATTTAAGAAATAAAGAAAATAATATTTCCCACTTTTGAAACAAAAAATAAAATTAATAATATTTGTTTATAAAATGAAAATAAATAAAGAAATACTTCTTCAAATGTTAAAAGTTTTTTAAGGTAATAGTTGTCCTTGTCTACAAATAAATCCAAAATAAAAGCCAAAATAACCTCCGAAACGGCGCCGTTTGAAGCCTCCATTTTCCCCCCTTCATCTCTGCGCTGACTGCTCTCTTCTCACCATCTTTAATGTCATTTTCTTAGCTCATAGTGTTAGACCACTATCTCATTATATTCTTCTTCTTCCCACCTCCACCCCTATTTTTTTTCTCTTTTTATTTATTTATTTATAGATATACTTCATTAATTCATACCTTCGTCTTCATCTCCACCTTTGCTTCCTCTTTCTCTTCCTCATCAAGAATTCGAAAATTTCATTACAAAAATCTTGTCTTGTCAGAATTCCAATAATATTTTGGTGGGCTGTTCAAAGATTGCATTTTTTTGTTAATGGATTAAAATCCCATTTGCAGAATTCAAAGTTTCTTGAACTGGGCTTGTATAAAAATCCAGTCTTTATTGAAAAGTATTTACTCTGATCTGAGAGAAAAGAAAAAAAAATGGAAGACTCGTCGAAGAGCAATGGAAAACTCGGTGAAACAGGTGTAATTGAGCTCACTGGTAAAATAATGGTGGTTGCAATCGTCCTCCTCTTCTTCGTAGTAGTCTTCGTCTTCTGCCTCCACCTCTACGCCAAATGGTTCTGGTACCGCCGAAACGAAACCACCACCACCACAACAACCACCACGCGCCGCCGCCGACGGAGGTTCGATTTCGCTGCCGGACACCAAGAAACAGCGGTTACAACCACCAATACCCGCACCGGGTTAGACCCGTCTGTCCTCAAAACCCTACCCGTAATACAATTCGACCCGAAACAGTGCAAAGACGGGTTAGAATGCGCCGTGTGTTTGTGCGAGGTTTCCGAAGGCGAAAAGGCGAGACTTTTACCGAAATGCAACCATGGATTTCATTTGGAATGCATTGACATGTGGTTTCAATCACATTCCACTTGCCCTTTGTGCAGAAACCCTGTAGCCAATCAGAATCAATCAAATTCTTGCGACGAATCCACATTGGATTCCGAGAGCTCGGAGGCTCCGAATTTTCCGACGAATGTTTTGATTTGGGGCAATGAGAATCAAGTCAGCACCTTTAGCCCTTCTGTGGATGAAAATAGTCAAGGTGTTAGTGGTAATGCAGAGCCGTCGAGTTCTTCTTCTTCGATGGTGATCGATATTTCGAGACAGATACATAATCGAGAAGAAGAGGAAGAACAGAAACTGCAGGCGGGGCCCACGAAACTTAGGTCGTTGAAGCGGCTTTTGAGCGGTGGTAATAGTAATAGGAGAGTTAATCCTTCGAGTCCGAGAAGTATGGATCTTGAACAAGGAGGCGGTGGCGGTGGTAGAGGACAAAGTTCGATTTGATTCGATATTCGATATTCGTTTTTCGATAAAAAAAGATGTTATTTATTGGGTTTTCTTTTCGTTTGTACCGTACGATGTTCTTTGATTCTTGATCAAGAAGATGCAATGCCATGGGGATTGGATATGGTGGTTTTTGTGTAATTAATTAATTACTAGGTTTGCTTCTCTATTTGAGGATTGAAGTGTTTCTGCATCCTCTCATTGAAGAGTTTTGGGTAAATTAATTTTGTCAAATTTAGTAGCTAATTATTCGAACACACAAGATACACATGCGCGTGTGTGATTATGTGTATATATACGCTTCAAATCTACAATGTGTAAATCATCAGGTGTAACATCTGATATATGCTTGAGTTCTTACAATCATCCATCTCCTCTTTCTTTCATCGTTCAAGAAAATTCCGAAAAGAAAACAAAAATCGAATTAAATTTTAAGATTCGTATTTTTCGGTTCTCGATACAAAATTTTCAAGACCATTTTTTCGAGCATTCCTGCCAATTGCCACATCACAATGAAATAACTAAAGACAATCTTTACCTAATTTGTTGTTATGTGACCAAGTAAAGAGGTCCATAAGAATTAAGCTTTTGAGAATTATTAAGCTGGCCAAGACACATATAGGGAACCTCGTACTTGTCTGCCCATCTCGTCGAACTGAAAAGACCGGTGAGGGGGCCGGATTTCGGCCCCCTCACAGTCACACCTCTGCCACCACCTACCATCCGTTGGATTGGACCGGACACGTGTCGACCCCTTATTGGCTTAGAAACGGTGGTGCTATTTGTCTGCAGCTTCTCCGGTTTGCATTTCTTTTCGGTTTTTAACCAGAAAAGCAATGAAGTTTTCCATGATTTTCTGGTTTTTCTCTCTCTATTGAAATGTTCATCGTCTCCGGATACTTCGAGATGTGGTGTAGTAGTAATTGAAGTCTCGTGTTTTTCGCTGTTTCTTGCTTCTTCCAAGAACTGAAAAACAGTATGATGTTATAAACTTATAAATCGTGTTTTATGAAACACTATTAGAAAACGACGGTTGGAAGTTGTTTTTTTTTTTCCTGGTGGAAAACAAACCTTTGTGAAATCAGTCTGATAATCGAACTCGTAGCCGTAGTAATCTGCAGCTACTTCATATGTTGAGAGTGTTGCAGATTTGTTCATCGTTACCTTTGTAATGAACTCGAAAGAAGAAGATTGATGAGTGCCCTTTATCTGGTTCACCTTTTTCACAAGAAAATAAAGTTGTTTATATAGAAAATAAGTGGGGGCTGATAATATACAAGTTACGGAAATCGAGGCCTACGTTTTTTCGTTCGAAATTTTATATATGTTCCAATTTCGATAAATAAATAAAAAATTGTAAAAATTCCGAAATTCAAAATGAAAAACATTGTTTCAAATTTTAAATACTGTAAAATTTTCAGATCGAAATCGTCGGAATTCAGAAATCGAATTACCACAAAGCAAGTTAGGGAACAAGGCACCACTAATAATTTGTCATTATTCAGTTTGTCTAGTTTTAAGTCTTTCACGCCGCATGTTTTGGGGGTGACCCCTTTTTTTTTTTCTTTTTTTTTCAAATTGTTTAATGATATTTACAAAATCAATTAATCTCCACTCATGTTTTTGTGCAGCAAAAAAGAAAAGGGAATTCAATAAAGTTGATTACAGGTCAATATCTCATTTTGTAGCATGGGAGAGACCATGATTTATTGTTGACCGCAGCACAATCAAAACACATCGAAACTAAAATTTAACAACCAGACAAATTATATATATTGTACAAAGGTCTTTGTCTATGTTCCAACAGACACACTAATTTATGTTCAGCAAAGGTTGATATCTGTCCATGTCTAAATATTATGTCACAACAAAATTTCGTACACATTGGAAATCGCAACTTTCGATTTAATCCCGATTTCGATTTAATTGCAATTCATTTTGCTCTTATTTTTAACGCTACGCACAGAATCAGCGTACACGGGTACGAGGATTTTACGCAGTGGAACAGGCCATCAAGTCAATAACAAACACAAATAAGCAAAAAGAACTATACAAATTTATCCAATAAAATCAGGAAAAAAAAATGAAAATAGGACATGTAATTCTGCACTAGTTAATGCAGCAAATTGTAGAGGAAACTAAACTTCCTTCGTTCGGCCGAAACTATACAAGTCCCTTTTCGTACATAAGACATTTACTAGCTTTTACGGGAAGATTCAAGATGCTAATTAGCAACCTAATCACACATTAAAATATGCCATTTTAAATTCTTGATGGTTATATATATATTTATTTAATCAAAGTTGAAGAAGAGGGAGAGCCATTACAGCAGCAAAAACGAAAACAAGCAGCAATAACAGCCAGGTAGGTGTAGAGCGCCGCCTCTGCTGGTTATTCAAATCTTTTGGAACTTGCACGTTTTTCAGCTCCTCCTTATTTCCACGTTTCTTTAATGTGGGACCCGCATTTTCGTCCTTGGTAGATTCTTGAGCTGCTGCCACCTCATCTGCAGATTGCTCAGCTGCTAGTTGTTCTTCGTATTTCTCCACATACTCTGGAAATAGTTTCCTAAAAGTCGGGCTGTAATAATCAAAAGAAAATAACATTCATGTTTAATTAAATAATCAAGTCATATATGTTTCATGGAAGAACGAGCTGTTAGCTTGGCTTATTAGGGGATTGTGTATTACGTGTTGACTAGTCAAGTTATACAATTGGGTTTTCGTAAGATTGCATAACGTTATCTTGGCTAGTCTTGTACTGGGAACCAAACGAGGGCCTCGATGTATAATTGAAGGAATGGTTATTATTGTAGTGAAGCGTAACTGTTTGTAAAACTTACATTTTGCAATTAAAAGCCAGAGAAGCCTTTGCAAGCCTTTGTTTATCTTCGTCTGAAGTTGAGACGCTGCCCGTGGTGGGACTATTGTCCATCTGAAACAAAACATGGTTGGTATAATTATAATCTCTCTTATTTGAGCTCAAATTCAGACAAGGCCAGCTATTTCCTACATCGATGTATCATTGCAATGCCACATGGAAAGAATAAAATTAACAAAATTTTCCCCTCTAAACATTGGCAAAAAACTCACCATGAAGGAGAGGAGCCCAGTCAGTATGCTGCATGCAAATGGGAGAGTCATCAGTAACCAATAAAAAAAAATAATAATAAATAATAATAATTAATATTATAAATCCTAGTGACAACGCCTTACCTTGAGGAAGACCACATGGGGTTCCAACTCTCGGGATGAACTGGAAAAGAAAAGAAAAAAAAAGATAATCATCTAGAGTATATCTTTGTTTTTCTCAAATTTATATGCCAATGCGGCAACAACTAACTTACAGTCGCTCATAGACAGGCATATCTTCGTTTTTGTCAAAAAGCGTCCATTTGGAGTGGTCATACTGCAAAAGGAGATAAATGACATTTTAAATCAAGAATCTACTAATAAATGCTCAAATCTTGACATCCGTAGAACTCATGTCCAAGGCTTTCTAAGTGTCGTGTTTCACGAGATGCAAAATAAATACCTGATTCCTGGAGGTTTGAAAGGGTATTCTGGTGGAAACTTTATATGTCCATAGTAATAACCACCTTGAATAATACGAGAGGAGAACCACATTAGTATAAAAACAACTAAAAGACCTATGTCAACTAAACGCAATGTCCACTCATGTGCAGAAAACACACACACACGCACACAAACAACACATGTATGACGTTCACTCGAAATATGTTCAACATAAACAGACAGAAAGGGCAGAAACCTGCAAAAGCTGTTCCTTGACTTCCTTCCAACACATAATCTGTGCACAAAAAGAAAAAAAAGATCAGAAGTTAAAGGATGAAGAAACATTTGGATTTAATAATGTCTAAATAAAACAGTAATACTTTGATCGAAGACTTAGAAGACAAAACCAAAAACACTATAAAGTAAGGAGCATTTTTGCGAGCCCAATAGAGTTCAAGTGGAGAAGTCAATCATGGGGGATTTCAAAAGATGGCATCATATATATTACATTTATATACCCTTCATTGTATTTTGAGTAACCCATATGACATATAATAGTAGAAAACTTATCACAAGGTATTTATTCCTTTCAATATGAGTGATAAACTCCAAGTTTGAATTAGATGTTATTCTTCAAGTTGGCCTTCACATTAAACACTAAGGCTTCGTTTGGTTGGGGAGATCTAGCCATGATTAACTAAAACATTGGACTTTGTTTGATGTTTGATATGCCTAACAACTTCCCGGGTCGACCTGGAAATATTACGTTATCATGGCTTACCTTGCCTTTTAGCAAGCACACACACTCAGACGAAGACGGAGTATATAATGTCAAATGAATTTGTAACACATCAATTAAAACAAAAAAAAAAACTAGGGATCAAGGTATATATTCATATGAAATTGATTGCAATAACATCAAGTTTAGACATGTTATTGTGTTCCAGAAAGGCACATCATAAATCATTACCATGCAATAAAATAAATAAAGGCAAGGAGCAACTTACGCCACTCGAGGATGTTATTTGGATGAGGGCGTGCCACCACATTGGAAACAGGTTCCTAATATGAATGAAACAAACTATCAATACATACAGACAAACGAATGTAACTAATTGCCAGTAGGCTCATATCCACAATCAAACACATGGCAAAAAAAAATTAGTTAAGAATGTGCTGGAATTTACAGGATGTCCCAACAGTTTAAAGTTCGAATATGTGATGGTAGAAGCCAAGTAAACTCCAATTCCGCCAAAACAAGGGCAATATCTCATTACATTCAGAAACTATTGCTGATACGTAGTACTCTGATTTCAATTTTCAAACAACTAACAATCGTAAATCCAATAGAAAAAGTATACATATTCTTGACAACAAGGCTTCTAATTACTTCTAAAATTTCCAATAGAATCATAAATGGTGTTTATCGCAAAGATAATTGTATCAGCAGTATGCATCGTAGGCTTTATGAAACTTTTCATAAGCAAAAGACAACTCACCTTGCAGAGTGATCTATATTCCTTTTGGAGGCGCTTTACACATGCTTTTTCAGCCATTTTTACCAGCTCAATCCACAATTAAAAAAAAAATGCAGATCGCAGCAGATAGTTATCTTATCCACTGCCTTCTCACAAGATTTGTTCCCTGCAAAATAGAAATTGTCATTAAAATTTGAGAATAATGTCGATCTTTTCGTCAGAAAACATTTTAAAAATGAACAACTTCATCAAATTTATGTGACAGAATTTCGAAAGAGGACAACCCGATAGTTTAAGTTTAAATTAGATTAAGTGCTCAATAGACCAAGCCCATGGTTCACATGCTGAAATTAGGTCCAACCTTCCTAATTGCTTCTTCTTGAGAGTTAAAGCTTCGTGTATTTTACTATATCTCTGCCCCATCCACTGGTGTCATTTCTTCAAAAGCATCCTACATTTCTACCACGTGCTCGTATAATTAATCGGGCAATTCACTTTATAATAAATGCTAAATCTATTAAGACCCGACTCATTTCCCATCCTGGTCAATATTTAACAAAAGATATTACTATTTCTCGACAGCATTGCAGCATAATCGAAGCAATTACGGATAAGGAAACATCTCAAAATTTGTGATACGCCATAGCAAGTGCACGTGCAGAAAAAAATCCTAAAATGCAATGAACTTCATAGATCTTCTTTCTAACTTACATAATTTCTGCGAAAAAAAATCGAAAAAATAGAAATACTACAGCAATCAATTTGTTCTCTTATTTACTCCCAGAATTAATAACACAACAAACTTGTGTAACAAGAACAGGTCAATCGGCCAACCAATCTAACCCTAAAAGTGTACGAATAAAGCGAACCATCAAACCAACAGTATTAACCAAATCAGCAATCCTGTAATCAGAAAACCAAATTACCGACCAAAAATGAAAAACAAGAACGAAAACAACATAATACATACCAGAGATCGAGAAATCAAAAAATCAAAAGGGTATTCGAGTGGAAATCATCAGAAAACCTAAATTCCAAGTTGAGAAATGAGAACGTCAGTACATTCAAATTTACGAGAGTTCAATCAATTGTTCAACAACTATTGAGGCGTTGAATTTGGGGGCGGCAGAAGAAATTTATCTGGGGTCAAATTATAATTTCTCTTTTTCGATTCCGAATGGCTATACTACAAACGCGTGGGATATTAATGGGACCATTTTACCCTTAACGATTCTTTTCATTTTGGTTGGCTTCAACACGACTATTATTAAATTAAGGGCTTGAGATTATGGATCTTATAATTCAAGATTAATTTTAATTTGGTTTCAAATTATTGGAACAAAAAGTTGGGCCCTAAAATTTATTTTTGCAGGCCCAAATGGAAGGTCCATGTACATAAACATATTTGGTTATATTTATTTTAGGGTAAATTACGGTCATCCCTCTGAGATAATGTTAAATTATGAAGAAAGAAAAATTCATCGTGTTTGGGTAATTACAACAACCGATCAACTAAGAATCTTCTGAGATGTCCACCTTGCGGGGTCAAATTTAGTGTAATTTGTTGGATTATGTAGAATATTCTCCAGTTTGTACCAATATTACCTCATTCGTACTCCACATTTTGACACGAGATGATCATAAGATGTTTTCTTTCTTGTCTCGTAACTATCAGATAGTGATACATCAAAAACTGCATTTTTGCGCAAAGCGAGTACAAACTAGAAAACATTTCACGTAATGTAGAAGATTCTGTTGAATTTGACATCATAAATGCGGACGTGTAAGAAGTTTCATAAATGAGAGGGATAGTTATAATTGCCCAAATATGAGGAATTTCTTTGTAATTTGATATTACCTAACGAGGTGGCCGTACTTTATCCTTTATTTAAAACATTTTTTTTTCTCAAAATGAAATTCAAAATCATAAACTCTCTTCTGAACTCAATGTGAACTTTTTATGATGACAGTGAAATCTATCTTGTATAGATCATTTGAAGTTAAGTAATTAACTTAATATGATTTACATCTCTTGGATCGTCCGCAATCTATGCAATGCATTGATACGGTTAACTGCAGATTCTTTTATTATCAGAAAAAAATAATTGAAAAGGAATGTATTATTTAATTAACCCAAAACTCTATTGATAATACAACACCAAATTTAGTGGAAGATTCTATCAAGCGTTAGGTGGAAACACTAAACCGCACATTAGAGATTCCTTCCTTGCTATCTTGAGTCTTGACCAGAAACTAATTTAATAAAAAAAAAGTTGCGAAAATCGAGGTTGTGATCCAAACAATGTGGGGAGTAAGTAGTATTTGTCATGAGATACGTCATTCTTTGAACCAAAGTTCAAATTAAATGTACAAGACAACAACAAGGGCAACTAGTGAAGAAAGATCCCACTCTTTTCATTACTTTAAATCACTTCAAACTGAATTACCATAATTAAATAATAATTAGTACCCTCTGCTTTTCCTTAATTACTATATAAAATCAACAATCACGTGCCTAGTCACATGACCACGCCGAAACTGCAACAACTAATCTGGAAGTCAGACCTTTTTAACATCACAGTCAAACCCACCCTCACATGATCCAACTTTGCATAGGATTCCAACTAGATCTTGCCACACACACACACACACATATATATATCACATAATGATTCAAAGCAAATCTCATCACAAAAAAAGTTAAGCTGCATCATTTTTAACAAGATTCAAAGCAAAACAACTCAATAAGCGCAAACATCAGTTATGAAGTCCCACCTCAGTATAACAGCCTTGTTTCTTATAGTACTAGTGCTCGTTTTGAACTCCCACGTACAAGAATCGCAAGCAATACGAGTCCTTCTAGCTAATACACAAAATCCCGTTTCGACCGTAAAGTCATCTTCACAATCTCTTAAGGGTTTGCATTCAAAAGAGAAGAATCCATACAAGAAGGAGAAATCGAGCTACAGAAGAGTACCTCCAAGCAGGTCGAATCCCACGCAGAACAAGTAACCTTCTATCTCCGAAAAGTTTTAACGCCTTCTTGTTCCACCTCGAGAAAGCTTCATTTCAGACATCATGTTCTTGCACCAGGTCCAAGCCTCCATAGGATTTCACTGTCGAAAGCATCGGTTGACAAATGGAGTACCTGCTGAGAAGTTATTACATTCGAATACGGATATTCTATTGCAGTTGATTACACTTTTCATTGCAACTTAGAATGTAAACAAATTTTGGTGTAGTGACGTTTTTTGTTCTATGTAATTCCTAGCTTAGGACATGTGAATACAAGAGTTCTGATTATAAATAGCAATGTTAGCAGAAATAAAAAGGGGGACAAAGAATCTGAGAACTTTCCATGTCAATTGAAGCTTGTAGTAGCTTTCGGTTAATCAATATTCCCAGCTTTCAACTTCTTGTCCGAAGATTTCGACAAGCCATCTTTTCTGCGTCTTTTTTTCTCCTTAACAGTAGATGATTTCTCATCATGAATTTCTCCACCATTATTATTTTCAGTAGAGTTGCCGGTTTTTCCTGTTTTATGCCTTTTGCTTTTCGAGAGATTTTCATCGTCTTTGGCAAACCCTCTTCCTTCTGGCACATGCTTATTCCCTGATTTTTTTGGTTTCCCCTGGTGTGCCAAGAACGGAGAAACGGAACTGGAAGGAAAAGCAGAATTTAGACGACTATTGATCTCTTCTCTCATGCCTTTCAAATTTTCTGCCTGTGGTTTGGGACGAGTATTAGAAAGAAAGTTTTCACTTCGAGATGGCTTAGCATCCTTTGGTCCAAAAGCTTCATAGAATTCATTGTAAATAGATTGCTTTGAAGTTTGCCTCGATCTCCATTGATCAGGTTCTCTTGCAAATCTACGATAACAAGAAACAGAACACAAAAAGATTAGCTTATATTTGTAACTTGTTCATGAGAAAAACAAGAAATACACATACAGAAAACAATAGTTTCACTGCAAACGAATCACGAGGCATGAATTGGAAAGAGTAACAAATATGCTTACCCCGTAACATCAAGTTTCTTTAACAAGTATGGACCCTGTCTAGTCTTGGACAGCTCTGTTTCATAAGATACTAGTTCAGATACAATTTTCTCCCTCAGAGATATATTGCTGGCGTTGAAGCACTTATCGACAGTATATGAACCAGAATTTAGCACCGAGAGCTCTCCAAAATGTCCTTGAAGCCTTCAATATTTGGTGCAGTTGCACAAAAGAAAAGTTATCATTGGTATAGTGTAAAAAGGGAAAAGGCGACTAATCATATTAGCGTGCAAAAATTTATAAGTGGCCCAATAATTTTGACATGAACTGAAGTAGAAAAAGGTACGAAGGAGAATAAGGCGGCTCATCGTCATACTTGATAATTAACTTGTGTTTGTGCTTGGCTGAAGCATTTGAAACGAGAAAAGCCTCAATCACTCGGGCACCAGCAGGATGTTTTGTTAATTCAAGGACATGGTTAGCCTCTAAAGACATGAGGCTGGTAATATATGCTTGTATATGTTCCTACAATACAGAAAACAGTGTGTGTTACCAATTGAAACTCATAGAGACGATATACTTATGTGGAAATTTTTCTCGAAGAAAAAACAAGGGAAAGAAAAAAACAAGGTGGAAATCCAAAGCCTAATTGATACTATTAGATGCCAAGAAGAAAGAAATAAGATTGTAATAACTTTGTGAGTCTTTACATGTTTAAAACCTGTCAACAAAAAGGAAAAAGCATAATGCAAGCAACATAATGTTGTGGAAGAAAGTCACATACACTTGGAAATTTGAAAACCGACTCCAGAATCAAAGAGCCCAAAACATGCATTTTAGCACCATTTGGCCAATACCAGTTGGCTTTATCATTACTATATAAGTAATTGTCAAGAAAGAATAACCGTGGCACGATACACGCAGAAGACTCATTCGCCAAACAGACAGCATCAGCTAGGGCTTGACAACACTGCCAAGACAAACAATGAAATTTTAGTCAACATATACAGAATAAACAATAAGAATTAAGAAGAACAAATACTTTTATTCTTAGCCCTTGATGCTAAACTTTTACAACATGCTAAAATGTTTGTAAAAATGAACTTAAAAGGGACAACGAAAGAACCAGAAAGACAAAAAATGAAAAAAAAATACCTTGTGCTCATAGATCTTTAGCCTTTGACTCGCACCAATTAAAGCTGCAACAACTCCAGTCCTTCCCAGTTCGATAAGATTCCTAAATTTAGAACCCAGTTCCTCGAAAATCAACTTTATCTGTATCCAAAAAAACATAAAGCGAGGTGATGCAATCAAGATTTTTATTTTTAATTTCAATTCTTTTCATTTTTTTTCAAGAAGCTTATTAGGAACCAGGATAGCTAAATCAAGAAGTAAGAAGTCATACATCTTGTACATTTAAGTAGCAGTATTCATTAGGGGTGATGATTATATTAACATCTTAGAGAAAAATATATAGTCGAGTTGAAAACTACATATTAATAGGAATGGGGTATATTAAGAGCAAGCAGATTTAGTGGCCAATAAGTCAAGGTAGTCAAAATTGGCCCTCTTCGAAAAGGTAATTTGTAGCTGAGATGTTTAGCAGATTTTTAAAATCCTGTCAGAAACTGAAGACATAGTTTTCTGCATAGTATGTTGAAGCCATACTTTTCAAGTGTTAGAAAAAGATCAAAGGGTTAAACCGTTAAAAAGAAGAATAATAGACTACTTCAGTTTTTGTACACATGGAAGTTTGAAAGTGACAAATTTCAATTTAATATTATTATTATTTCCTAATTTAATCATCTTGCAGATTAGATACGACACAGTTCAACATTTATCCAATAAGATGTCATATTAACTAACTTTTTAAGATCAAATCAACTGTCACATACATCAAATTCAAACTCCCTGATGTGCATATTATTGCACCTCTCCCACAAACAAAACAACAAAATGGAGAAGGTTTAAGGACATAGAGACATACATGATCTTGAGTTCTTGCATGAGCCACCAATGCTTGCACAACGAAATTCCCAGAGCGATGCGATGACATCCTAAACAAGGAACCCTTGAAAACTGTCATAATTATTTCGTTATATAAGCTATCAGGAGCCACTGCCAAGATGACCTGCAGAAAGTGAAATGAATATTGAAACATCGAAGTTACTAGTACAGAGCAGACAAGAATTATTGTAGAGATAATTGATTTAGCCTGTCAATGAGCTATAAATAGTTGAATATCGACAGTCGGGATAATTTTATCAAAGAATTGTCCCAATCAGTCAAAGGCATAGGAAGTTTTGTTTCTTCCATAGGAAATTACACATGTTCTGGAAACATTATGTTCTTCAAGAGATATGAACAAATTTCACAATGACGTTAAGAATTCCATTTTTTCTCGGTTCATACAACTAAAATACGAGTGTTCCAAAACTCTCATATCAACAATGTCAAATTGAAACTCATAATCATACTATAACAGAAAAGGGAAGGGGGTAGTTTTGTAAAATCCTCACCTCCATTAAATGACTGTACGCATTTTCTTCCACTAAACGTAGAATTTTTTTCCCTACTTTCCCTTCTATGAAGTTCGGTTCTACAACAATGTCTGCAGGGCAGCCAAGGAGAATAGGAATTAAACGGAACAACTCCTCATCTTGTCCAGCTAATAATTTCAGAGCAGCCTGCGATTGAAAACATACAATTCATCACATGTAAGACAAGCACTAATTAACTCCAATTACGAGGAAAATTGTACAAGACAGTGATGCATTGCAAGAAGTTAGAGAGATGGCAAAAACATGCCTGCAGAACCAAACTACTGTACTGGTCTCCTAGTAAGATTCCCACGTCTGTCTTCGAAGGGTTTACAATCTCTGTTACAAGATATTTGAGTTGATCCGGGAAAGGTTGGTTCTCTTGAGATTTAGAACCATCTAACAGAGATGATCTCAAATTCAAACGTTGCGCTAACACCAATGATGGATTTGTGGTATGAAACTCCAATGTGTCCATTGGAACTCCTTTACAAAGACAAAGAAGTCTCCTTAGGACATGCGATCCATAACAGTTGCACATTATATCAACTGGATTCACCACAATTGCCTAGCAAAATAGAAATAGAGGAAAACAGTTTAGTACGACTTTTTTGCAAAATGTATATACTATAACTTCTCCATACAATAGAATTCCAAATAATTAAGAGTGAAGTAGATTCAGTGGTGGAACACCTCGCACAATGCAGATACTGTCGCTTCAACGAGAGAGTGATTCTCGTTATCCTCGAGATGTCTGGCCAAAGACTTCAGTGCTGTCTCAGCTACATGAGAACCAGACTTATCCATAGAAATATGGGCGAAATCATACACGCAGCTTTGAAGAAAAGAACAAAGGTGATCCACGGAGCAGTTTTCGAGGAGAGTTTGCATAGTGTGACTGATAATATAATCAGTTGCGAGTTCTACTTCTTTCCCTCTGGCTTCTTCCAACGCATTACCACATATAACAGAGCGCTCCTCAAAATCTACCTCCGTTCCTTCTATTGCATTTGAAATCTCGGTAAAATATTTAGTGGTATCTGGGTCACCTGCTTCCTACATCACAACATTTCCAATAACGCGCTTACACAAGAAACATGCACACTGATGAATAAAAAACACAGACAACTAAATCATTAATCGAGAAATAAACCTGACAAATGATGATTCCGATACTGAGGCTGCGTTGTCTGTTTCAAATTTGCGAGGTTTTCCTGCACCACCTGACCGGTTTTCAGTGGAAGCATCTCCATGAAATCCTTCGTTTCTCTTACTTCCTTTCCTGCCCATTTTGCGTGTTCGGCCACCCTTGTTACACGAAGGTGTACCTTCGTCAGGTGTCAGTCTATCCTCAGATAAACTATGCGATTTATGTCTTCTAGACGGCAATCCTTTCAGACCAATAGAAACCATAACACAGTCCTATATCATGCGTAAAAACTGTAATTAGCCTACAATTAAAACACCAAAAAAGTAAGCAACAGAAATACTAATACTATTTGATTCAGCACTGTTCTCAGCACCCTCAGTCATAATGGAAAACTTCCAGCAAAATTACAAATTACAAACTATTTCCCCCCCCGCAAAACAATTCAGTCCCAATACAACATAAACTACTCAAACAACGCAATTTAAACAGAAACACTGACAATTTTAACCTAGCTATACATGACGCAACAAATGAAAATTCAAATTCTAAATTATATCTTTACGAGCGGCAAATTCGACAGCTCATGAACATGATAATGTATAAGAAAAACGCGTTCGCAAAACATTCAACTGCTGAAATTAAATTCAGAAAAAAAAAAATACATAACACGAACCTATAAGCTGAGAGTGAAAAATTTGACAGCACAGAGAAAAAAAAAATCTTCCGTTGTAAACGCTAAACCTTGAAAGAGTTGAGCAGAGAGAGAGAGTAGAGAGAGAAAGAGCGGCTGCTTTCTTCTTCTGCCCTTGCTGAAATGGGTCTGTTGTTTTTTTTAAGCCCAATAATAATTCTAAGTGAGCCCATTTGTCTATACGTTTTATATTGAAACAACGCCAGGTACTGATTAATTAATGGGCCGGGCCCATATATTTTAATATAAATTTACGGATACGTCCCTGAAGTATGGTGAAATTACGAACAAATCCCTCTTGTTTGGGTAATTACAACCACCCTTAACTATGTCTTGTTTTACGAAAAAATATTTCATTCAGTCGGTAAATTTGACACCTTTAGGGTGAACGTGTGACACAATACATAGTTGAGGTGTGGTTGTAATTATCCGAATATGAGGGGTTTTTTCGTAATGCGACCTGGGAGGTGTTGGTAATGTACCATATATTGTGAAATCGTGTAGTTTTGTGATGTTAAAAGTAAGGATTATTTTATTTTTCAATTATATATTGACTTTAATTGTTAAAAAGAAAAATTATGTGTTAGTCTCTTAGCAAAAGTCGCCCCATACAATTCACTTTTTCAACATAGTAACCACAATTTCCAATCTTGCCCTATCAAAAGCTAAATCCCCGCCTTCGACCTCGTCCTGATTCGACATATTTTTCAATGAAGAAATGTAAATTATGGTAATTTAACGGCCTACTATATAAGCGAATATATGCCTATTTTCAATAAGAATCCGAATTCTCATTATAAAGTTGAAATTCATATATTGCGGCTGTCAGTACGCGATTGTAGCAACGTACAACAACTTACCATTCCAGAACTAGTTAAGCTACCGGGCACCCCTTCATATCCCACTATTTAGTGTGCAAGTGTAAACAAATTTTTTTTTTTTTGGAGTAAAAAACAATTTAAATATTTTGATTCTATTACATATGCACCACAATTTAGATATTCTTTTACTAAGAAAATTCAAAACCACAAAACTACAGACAAATTGCATCTAGTGACTTGGAGTTCTCCACATTTGAAATGTTCATACTTATCCTTTCATCTCAGAAAAAAAAAAAAAAAAAAAAAAAAAAAGAAATTGTCGATTTTTTATTATAGGAAATGACAAAAACAATAATATATACATAGGATACCACTACATATAATTTGCACACATTTATATATAAATAATTTATAAAAAAATGTTTGCACTTAGTCCTGTCAATTTTCGTGTTCCATACACTCTCCCCACTTGCCAAGGTTTTTGGTCACTTGTGAATGAAACAATGCAATGTTTGAAACGAGGAACGAAAAGTAACGTTCTTTTATTTTTCATGTAATTATTATTTTTGCTTTTTCACTTTATTTTTGCTTTATTAATTATTTTTAAATAACTTTTTATATGCGAAACGAATAAAGTAGCTTCGCTTTATTTTATTACAATTTATTTTATAGTTATAAACTTATAATAAAAGAAAGCTGGTAGCGTGATTTGTGGAAATTATAATATTAAAATAAAAAAATATATAACTCGGCCCAAATATGCCTAAATGAGTAGGTTAGGCCCGAGTTTAGGGGCCCAAGCCCAACAATTTCTTTTATTTTATAATTTATTTATTTTCAATATCATTATTCACAAAATTCATTTTCAACATTAGTTTTTATTTTTTTTCAAATTACGTATACCTACCATGCATGTGAGGTCTGACTAAAAGAATTCAAAATCTTGAATTAATAAGCATAATTTGAAGCTAGCTGTAAGCATGTAACAAAATCAGGGAATATATAATTAATTAATTTAAGGTAATTAATGCAGGGAATATATGTTAGTTAGGGCCTAATGATATTAGGCATTAATTGAACGAATTAATTAACCGCTCGAAATTACTCCCTCCTTCCCTTTCTATTCAACGTTTTGGCTATGAATTTTTTTTCCAATTTATTTGACGTTTTAAAATTCCAAAGCAAATTTATATTTTCCTTTCCATTTTCGCTCTTACTATTAACTGCTCTAACTCTTCAGCTTCTAGGAACCAATGGAATTAATGAATAATTATTTGGAGAGAGGAAAGGGTAATCTGGGGTATTTCTATTCAATTAAAGAATAATTATTGAGATTCTTAATTTGTGTGAAAAATCGTAAAACGTCAAATATTAACGGAAGGAGGGAGTAGTAATTATTAATTCAAATAAAAATGTAAATGATTGCAGATTTAAAACAAATAACATAAGATTAGGAGAGCATCTAAATTAATGATTGGCTGATGGCTGATGATTGTATACAAAAGAAAACAAATTATGAAGTTGCCAGGAATTTTGTCATTACAGTATATTTTAAATAAACAATGGCCACTTGATAAATTAATAGTTATTCTAATAGTCACATTTTAAATACCTCATTGCATTTATGATATATATATATATATATATATATATATATATATATATATATATATATATATATATGAAATGTTCAAATATTTCAAATGTTATTACAATCACTACAAGAGATATATAACATTTCATTAGTTTGAGTGACAACCCTAAAAACAGATTGTCAGAATAGAAGATAACTAAGTAACGACATAAAAATATTGTCACTTAATATATGCATCTATTCGCAACTTTTGATGTTGTTACAAATATGTATATGAATATTGTTAATTAAATTAGTATATGATATTTTTTACCAATTAAATTAAGCTTTATGAAAAAAAAAAAAAAAATTAAATTGAAGAATATAAGAAAAAGCAGCCCCACCCCACCCCCACAATATAAATTAATGCACGTGGCTTCCCATAATTTCATGCATGTTTAAATTTTATTACATCATAAAAAATTGTATAAATCCATCCTCAAATCCCACACTTATTCTCAACCAATCATTTTGCTCTTCACTAACACTCATTGAAAAATGTCTCGTGTAAAGGAATTCTTCGCCGGAGATTCAACTTCCGGCGGCGGCGGCCAGAAATCCACGAAGAAGAAGCTATTTCTAGCCCTCTTCGCCTCAATCCTACTCGCCGCCGCCATAGTTGGAGTAGTCGTCGGAGTAAAATCAAGAAAAGAAAACTCCGAGGACAGCTCCGACATCAAACTATCTCGGGCCCACGCCATAGCGAAATCTTCGTGCAGCAACACGTTGTACCCGGAGCTATGCTACTCCGCCATCGCCGATTCTCTCGACGGCGGCAAAGAGAAGGTGAAGTCGAAGAAAGATGTTATCATTCTGTCGTTGAACGTCACCACCGCGGCCGTGCGGCGGAACTACTTCGCCATAGAGAAGCTGCTCGCCGGCGGCGGCGGAGGCGCAAAGAGTGGCAACTTGACGGAACGGGAGAAGTCGGCGCTGCACGACTGCTTGGAGACGATCGGAGAAACGCTGGACGAACTCCACGCCGCCGTTGAAGATCTGAAGGAGTACCCCTCGTTGAAGAAGTCGGTTAAAAACCACGCCGACTACCTCAAAACCCTAATCTCCTCCGCCATTACCAACCAGGAAACATGCCTGGATGGATTTTCTCACGGGAAAACTGATCGGCACGCGCGTGAGATTCTCGTCGGCGGCCAGGTTGTGCGCGTGGAGAAGCTCTGCAGCAACTCACTCGCCATGATCTGCAACATGACCGACACGGATATCGAGAACGAGAAGAGGGGACTGACCAGCGGGAGGAAGCTCGTGGCGGAGGGCGGCGGCGGGTGGCCGGAGTGGTTGTCGTCTGGGGACAGGAGGCTGCTGCAGTCGTCGACAGTGACGCCGGACGTGGTGGTGGCGGCGGACGGGAGTGGGGACCACAGGACGGTGTCTGCGGCGGTGGCGGCGGCGCCGGAGAAGAGCAACCGGAGGTACGTGATTAGAATAAAAGCAGGGGTGTACAGAGAGAATGTGGACGTGGGTAAGAAGAAAACGAACATAATGTTCGTCGGAGATGGGCGGAGCACCACCATTATCACCGGAAGCAAAAATGTACAAGATGGAAGCACAACCTTCAACTCAGCTACAGTCGGTGAGTTTTTACTTGCAGCCTCTTCTTCTACACTATCTACGTATGCAATCGTCATCGTTTCGATATTCATGCAATATTAATTATAATATTAGGCTAAGTATAATTTTTTGATTGTTAATTTAAAATAAATCGAGCTTGTTAGACATGATTAGTCTAGTATGGTTTATGTCTCTCGTATGATTTACAAGTTATTATACGAGAGTGTAGATTTCTCCACTACTGCAATTATATGATTGGCTGCAGATTATTTCGTTACAAGACAAATTAAAAAATAATAAACTCATGAAAAAAAATTAAATTGAGAATATATCTATATATGGAGTTGGTTGTTAGGACTTAGGCCATTGAGAGAGTGACGAGTCTAGAATAAAGAAAAGTATGCGGTGAGAGGTTGGGATTTGATTTTAATTTGTTTCATATATATATGATTTTGTGAACGTACCAAATAAATATATGACATTACTATGTCCCAATTAAATCAAGTGTTTAATTATTTTTTTCAATTCTTTGTGTCGTTTAGTATATATTTGAGGATTTTATCAATAAGGTAAGGTAGAAAATAATGGCTTACGTTTTCAGTACATGTGCCTCCTTTGTTTCTTGCTTCGTCACGTAATTAATTCCTATAACATATTGTCTATATTGGTACATTATTACAAAAATAGAAATTATTTAATTAATGATTGGTATATTAATTATTTTATTATATATATATTTGACACAATCATAGCCAGTTGTAAAGTAATATCCCAGATAAAAAAAAAAACAAGAATTGTTGTCAACTTGTCACCCAGCTGATTTTGATTGGACATATATTACATATTGTTTTTTTCTTGAATATTTGACTTTAAATACTTTATTTCTTTTTCAATGATGTGATGATTTAGGGTTCTTTTTCTTATTCCATCCTTTAATTACGCTAATGTTGAAAATGAAATAAGGGCCCTCCATTCACCCACGATAAATCTTTACATTTATTTATGCTAAAAAAAATATATTATGTTCTAGAGGAATATTTCTGTGTTTTCAATTGAAGAAGCTAGCATAGTATTCGGGGGCCATGACCCCCTTACAATTTAAAAAATTGTGTGTTCTTCGGACTTAAAATTTTGACTCTGGTAATGGTGTATTTATCACATTCATATATTATACCAAGTTTGTATTACTTTGAAATATTTAATTTACCTAGTGGCAATTACTAATATTTTGTAATTTTGTTTTTTTTTTTTAATATAATTTTTTGTATTTTTATATTTTCATAATGGGCCTATTGGATCTTATATACTTTTTATTTATGTGGGCCTGCAGCTGTAGTGGGTGAAAAGTTCTTGGCGCGTGACATCACATTCCAGAACACAGCCGGGCCCACAAAGCACCAGGCCGTGGCCCTGCGCGTGGGATCCGATTTATCCGCGTTTTACAGGTGCGATATTCTAGCCTATCAAGACACCCTGTACGTGCACTCCAATCGCCACTTCTTCGTCCAATGCCTAATCGCCGGCACCGTCGACTTCATCTTCGGCAACGGCGCCACCGTCCTCCAGGACTGCGACATCCACGCCCGCCGCCCTAACTCCGGCCAGAAGAACATGTTCACCGCCCAAGGCCGAACCGACCCGAACCAGAACACCGGCATCGTCATCCAAAAGTGCCGGCTCGGAGCAACCTCCGACCTCAGACCGGTCCAGAGTAGCTTTCCGACGTACCTCGGCCGGCCGTGGAAGGAATATTCCAGGACGGTGATCATGCAATCTTCCATCACCGACGTGGTTCACTCCGCCGGGTGGCACGAGTGGGACGGCAACTTTGCCCTGAGCACTCTGTTCTACGGCGAGCACCAGAACACCGGCGCCGGCGCCGGAACTTCGGGGAGGGTCAATTGGAAAGGGTTTAAGGTGATTACGAGCGCGACGGAGGCGCAGAGTTACACGGCGGGGAGTTTCATCGCCGGCGGTAGTTGGTTGAGCTCCACCGGTTTCCCGTTTTCCTTGGCTTTGTGATTTGGGATTAATTGGTGAAATTTAATATTTATTTTATTTTTAATATTATTATTGTTTAGGTTGGTGTAATAATCAATTAAGATTTAATACTGTTATTAAGAGAATAAAGTTTGTCATTTGATTATGTCGTGGAGATTAATGTGAATAAAACGCGCCAATTTTATTCCGATTTCCTAATTTAATACTACATTATTGGGATTGGAGATTGATTGATTTGAGATTGGGATTTAGGTCAAATGGGACTATTTAAATAAATTTTAAAAAATAAAATAAAATGGGTTGCACTTTGCAGGCATTTGGGCTGAGATCTGGTCCACGATGTTGCTTGGGTCCAAATAATTTTGTTTATGAACAAAGGTCCAATTAATTATTTAAATTGATGCATATAATAATTATTTTAGTTAGAAATAAATTGATTTTATTTAGGGGTTAATTACGGCCACATCCCCGATGTATGGTCCTATTTGGGGTAATTACAACCACCCTCTTCCCACCTATGAATCGTCTTACACGTCCACCTTTGCGGTGTCAAATTTAGTTGAATCTTCTAGATTGTGTGGAATATTCTCCAATTTGTACCAATTTTACCCCATTCGAGCTCCATATATATATCAGATTGTGGTGCATCATAAAATGCATTTTTTTTCACAAAACATGTACAAACTAGAGAACATTCTACGGAATCTAGAAGATTGTGTTGAGTTTGACACCATAAGGGTGGACGTGTAATTAAGAAGACTCATAGTTGATAAGGGTGATTGTAATTACTCAAACAAGAAACGTTTTTTTTTTCATAATTTAACCATACCTTAATGAATGTCCGTAATTTACCCATTTAGATAATTATTTTATTTTTTTAATTTTGGAGTATCAACGAGTTAGTTTTTAGTGAATTTGGTGAAAATTTGATTGAAATCTGATCTACATATATTTGAATGTGATCTAATGAAAAAACACGCCAAGATAGCATAACTTAATTGAATCAACAGACAGAGAGTTTTGACCAAAAACAAATATGAATAAAATTGAGTTTTTCATTTTCCAATATGATCAAATAAAATCTTTTTTTCAGAACAAATTAAGAAAATATATATTTTATTGTAATAAAAAAATTTTGCAAACATGTTTCCCACTTGGCAGAAAAACATGGACATGGCCATGGTGGTGGTTTATTTTATTTAATCTGTTATTTATTACCGCGTATTTTCGTATATTTTAATGTTTTATTATTTTGGGATGTCTGTTAAACTACAGCTGCATCTCCAATATTATACTATCTCCGGTGTTATCTTTGTCACTTTGTTAGCAAAATATAAAATTTAAAAATTAAAATCATTTTGACCATAAAAAAAAATATTGGAAGGCTGGTATATTTTATTTTCATTGACCAATGTAAATGCCGCGATCAATAGTGATTGATGAGAAGATTTCAGTTCCTTGCGGAGTTAGAGAATAAATTAAATATCAATATTATAAAAAGAAACATTTACTAATTCCATTTTATTCGAATTCAACATCATTGAAGAATCGAATGACCATTTTATTAGTGAATTTGATACACTTACATCTCTAATAATTCGAATCTAATAGTGATTCATATGTAATTAGCATTTTGATGAATTGAAGCAGATAAACCTAAGTCGAAAAATATCTATAATTTTTCGAAGCAGAAAAAAATGACGAATCAATTAGTACATTTTGTTACAAATATACGACATGAACGTGGTGGAACTATATTGGAAAAAACCGAAAACTACAATTTGGAAAAATTCTGATTCACTCGATTTTCGATTTCATAGTGCATTGGAAAAATTCGAGTTTATTTTACAATTACACAAGCAAAATATACTTAAATTATTTTGATTGATTTGGCTAGTATAAAAAACCATATGCCAACTTTCAAATTAATTAAAATATATATCAAGAACGAACATGTATAACAAAGAAACGCGTTCCATTGATTTAATTATTCATTAAAACAATAAAAAGAAAACCTTCATCCAAACACTTGCATGTTATATATAAAATTTAATTAAATTGAAAAAGTCTTCAACAAATGATAAAGATGTATGTCAACGCAACCCTAAAGAAGAAGCATCCAAGAACAAGATTACCAATAATTAATTAAGATTTAAATTAATCCCCTAATTAATCCTAATTAATTAAACCCCTATAAATAATGTCACAATACACACCACAACAAAAAACACACACTACATACACTTCAAAAAAACACACACTAGATTCTGTGTGATGGATTCAGTCAATTCGTTCAAGGGCTACGGCAAAGTGGACGAGATCGAAGAAGCTGCATTCAAGAGAAAAACTCGGAGGCGCGTGATCATACTCTCCGTCTCAGTAGTTCTGTTTATCGGTCTTGTGATCGGAGTTGTCGTCGGAGCTGTAGTCCACAGCAAGAAATCCGGCGATGTTTCGGGTTCGAGTAAAACCCCGTCGGCGGCGATCAAGTCGGTATGCAGCGTGACGCAATATCCGGAGTCATGTTTCACGAGCCTGCACGAGTCGAACTCCACCGACCCGGAGAAGATCTTCCAGTACTCGATGACGGTGGCGATGGATTCCCTCGTGAAGGTTTCTTCCTTCCCGGAGGAGTACATGAACAAGACGGACAATGCGGCGGTGAAGGCGGCGCTGGAGGTCTGCAACGAGGTGCTCGACGACGCTGTCGCCTCCCTCAACGACTCCATCTCCTCCATGCACGGCGGCGGGAAGATGATCTCCGTCGAGGGGATCGAAGACCTGAAAACGTGGCTGAGCACCGTGATCACCGACCAGGAGACGTGCTTCGACGCGCTCGACGATGCGAACGCGACCTTCGTCGTCGAGATTAGGGTTTTGATGAAGAACTCGACGGAGTTCGCGAGCAACAGTTTGGCTATCGTGTCGAAGCTTCTAGGTCTTCTCGGAGATTTCAAGCTTCCGATTCACCGGCGGTTGTTGGGTGATTCTGAATTCCCGGCGTGGGTCGGGGCGGCGGAGCGGCGGCTACTGCAGGCGGCGGTCAAGCCGAGGCCGGACTTGACGGTGGCGCTAGATGGCAGCGGAGATGTGAGGACTCTAAGAGATGCGGTGGCGAGAATACCGAAGAAGAGCGCGAAGAGATTCGTGGTGTACGTGAAGAGGGGGATTTATGTCGGGAATGTGGTTTTGGATAAGTCTTTAACGAACGTTATGTTTTACGGCGACGGCAAAACCGCCACCATTTTTTCCGGCAGCAAGAACGTCGTCGATGGTACTCCGACTTTTTCCACGGCCACCTTTGGTAAGTTTTTTCATCAAATTAAATTCAAATTTCTTGTTTATTAACTTAATTTTTTACATGCATAATGAATATATATATTTTAGAATTAATTCTTCATTAACTTATGTCTTATTTGATTGTCACACATCTAAGTTTATAATCAAGAAATTTAAGATCCCACTTTTAAGCATTTTTTTTTTTTTTGTCAATATATTTGTGTTTGGTGCATGCACTGATTTTTAGGTCAATATATTCATGTGTTATACACACATACGCATAAATGTGTGATTAGTGTAGATTTACGATTCACAGTTACTCGATGTAAAATAATTAGGTGTAAAATCTAATTTCTCGTCCATTAATTACTACGGTGAATGTGCATTTTGATTTGATTCTTCTTGAAATATTTATGATTTAACTCGTATACATGTTAATTAACATGTTTTGTATAGAACATGATGAAATTAATTAGCAGGATATAAAGTTAATTAGAACTACTGCAATTTGTATTAGGGGAATAAGTCAATTATTAGAAACTTGCACACCAAATAAAACGTCGTGGAGACATAAGACTGAGATTTTGTTTAATTTAATAAGCACTTGTTTTATTTATTTATTATTGTTTGTTTAATTTTAAATTTTTAATTTGCACTCGCAAGCAAGTTTCTTTTGGTTGACTTTTTATCTATAGGACAAGATGTAACTTCTTGTAACTATTCAAGTTGAGATAGTCAACTACACCATGTCACCACACGATTTATAAAATAAATTTTTTAATTACTAAAATATTAGACATAAGACATTAGAATATCATAGATTAATTCTATTATATTTAATTCCAAAGTCACTTATAAACGTCGAAATATTCTAATTATATTGAATCAATTCCTTGACTTTCCCCTCAAATTATCTCTAACTAACTAGTTGACTTTCGATGTAATAGCCGTCGTCGGAAAAGGATTCATCGCACGAGACATAGGGTTCAAAAACACGGCCGGACCATCCAAGCACCAAGCCGTGGCCATGAGATCCGGCGCGGACCAATCCGTCTTTTACCAGTGCGCGTTCGACGCTTTTCAGGACACACTCTACACCCACTCGAACCGTCAATTCTACCGCGAGTGCGACATAACCGGAACGGTTGACTTCATCTTCGGCAATTCCGCGGTGGTTCTCCAAAATTGCAACATCTTGCCTAGGCAACCCATGTCGAACCAATTTGTGACAATAACCGCCCAAGGAAAGAAGGACCCTAATCAAAACACGGGCATTTCGATCCAACGGTGCACCATGAGCCCATTGGGCACACTCACCGCCCGAACGTATCTCGGCAGACCGTGGAAAGATTATTCAACTACGGTCGTAATGCAAACCACTATCGGTGGGTTTTTGAGCCCGTTGGGTTGGGCTCCGTGGGTTACAAACGTTACCCCGCCAAGAACCATTTTCTACGCCGAGTATCAAAATACTGGGCCTGGATCCAACACCGCGGGTCGGGTTAAATGGGCCGGGTACCATCCCAGTCTCACAGCAACAGAAGCGGCCAAGTATAATGTACAGTCATTTATCCAGGGCCCATCTTGGTTGCCTGGTAAAACGGTGCCGTTTGATTCAACCTAATAAATATGGTTGTGAATTGATTTTTTACACGTTTTTTTATTTTATTTAACTAACGATTTGTGGATTTGTATTATTCATTTTGTCACAAAAAAATTGTAATAATTAATGGGTTTCTTTTGTATGACACTTTTTTTTATATTGCATTTATTAAACTTTTATGTTGAAATGGGGAATTATTATTATTTTTTAGTGCATTTTTCTTATTCATTTTTCTTATATTAATTCTCAAATTGTAGGTAATATAATCATAAAATAATTTAAAGGATCCCAATACATTTTCCTTATTATTAAATATAAATCATTTGATCGAAATAAAACCAACTAAAAGCTCAATTCGAGAGCGATAATTAGAAGCTCGTTTGAGGTCGATTTCGTGTAAAAATATCGATCGAACATGAGGATTTAATAATTTTATTTAATAAGAAAATAAAATAATATTTGATGCACAAAAATTTGTCCTAAAATCCACCACAAGTACAACTGATATGGACACATCACACAAGTTAGGGTCGGCAACCGGTCGGGTCCATCTTAGGAATACCCGAACCGGTAAACGACGTCGTTTTCTGGTCAAACAAAATCAATTTATTTCTCTACCCTCGCTGCCTGTGCTAGGTGTCTCTTTTCCCTATACAAGAACAAAAAAAGAAAAGATTTTTACTCTGAAGAAATTTTCACGTTTTAACTCTTTCTCTCTCTAGAAATCGACAATGCGGAAATTTGCGGCCGAAAAAACCAGAAAAGTGTTAGCCCACAGGAAATTTTTCAATTCCGTGGTGCAGCATCCCACCGCTTCCCTTTCTTCTTCTTCGTCGTCATCTTCTTCTTCATCTCTATCTAGAAAATCGTTGCCTCATTCTTCTGCTGCTTTTCTTTCGCGCTTATTGAACACCTCAGCTTCTCCTAATCCTTCTTCTTCCGATTCCGATTCTATGGCCTCTGATTATTCTTCCACCCCTGTTAAGATTGATACGATCAATCCCAAGGTATTTTTATTCCCTTATTCTGCCTTTTTTCTGTTTTGGGTCTTTTTTATGTGGTGGTGTTTGATTCGTTTTATCCTAAGTTTGATTGATGATCTAGGTTTTAATCTCGATTTGTTTTTTTGGTTAATCAATGTGAATCATCTTTGTAAATGCTATTAGTGTTGAAATTGTTGGTGTTGATTTGTTCAATTTTGGTTGTGATCACTCTTTTCCATCAGTTTTCTTTGTGATTATTTGATAATCTAAAGTGGGCAATCTCGTATGATGAATTCGTGTCACAAATAATTTCTCAATAGAATGTAATTATACTCATCGATTTAGCTGACGGTTGTTTCCGAGACTAATCTGTTGGCTGAAATAAATTTTAGATATTAATTAATCAAATTCTATACCAGGTTTTGGAGTGTGAATATGCTGTTCGTGGTGAAATCGTGTCACTTGCTCAGGTAATTGATTTCGCGTTATCTAGTTTCTATAGTTCGTTTTTCTTCGTGAACTTAAACCATAGTTTTATTCTGGGGTTTTTGTTTTACGTGTTTTCCATGAACAGAAATTACAAGAAGATTTGAAGATCAATCCAGATTCTCATCCCTTTGACGAGGTACGTATTCCTACTTTGACGAGGCGAAGTCTAGCTTTTGCAACTTGTAGTGTAATATGTATAAGCCACGCAGGCATTTGATCAATTTATGTAATTCTTGAAGAAGTGTAGATCGAAATCTGAATAGGACAGAGCCGAATTAAATTAGCACAAAACATTAAGAGTGTGCGTCTTGGTTTTTATTGCTTATAAAAGCCTAGTTTAGTAATTAGTGCATTATCCACAATCTCTCGAATAGAAGTTAACATTTGAATAATGCGGGCACCACAGTTTTCAGTGTGTATGGAATTTCCAATTACGTACTTTCAGAAACTGCTAAATTTTAAGAATGTTTTTTTGCTTATAATCCCGCATCCTAGGATATGCTGTTTTGGCTTCAATGGGGATATGCTCCTTGTAGCTAATTTTTCTGGAATTTGCATTATCGTAAGACTGTTGATCTTATTGTTCGTCTTATTGGCAGATACTGTACTGCAATATTGGAAATCCTCAATCACTTGGTCAGCAGCCAATCACCTTTTTCAGAGAGGTGCGTGTTATAAATTGTTACAGAATCAACCTTCATCAAATTGTCATCACTTGTGCTTTATAACTCATTCGTTTTCTTATTTCAGGTCCTTGCTTTGTGTGATCACCCATCTATTCTTGATAAATCTGAAACACAGGGTTTATTTAGGTAACATCAATCAATTTAGTAAAACATTATATCCGTACTATTTAAATGAAAATCGCTCCATCGTAACCATTAGTACATGTGCATCTTTCTGGTAGAATATTGGTCGTCTAGAAATAATATAGATTTTTTTCCTGGTGAATAGACAGAGTTCCTCTGTCTCCCCATGGATATAGACTTATAGTATTTCTTAGTAGTAAAATCGTCTGGTATTTTTTCACTGCAGTGCCGATTCTATAGAACGAGCATTTCAAATACTAGATCAAATTCCTGGAAGAGCAACTGGTGCTTATAGTCACAGTCAGGTAACTGTAGCCTCTCTTGAAAACCTCGTCTATAACAAGTATTTTAAGGCTCGGTTTACTAACATATCAAAATTTTCTTGGTATTGAATAAAATCAGGGTATTAAGGGACTACGTGATGCAATTTGCGCTGGTATTGAAGCTCGAGATGGATTCCCAGCTGATCCAAATGATATTTTCTTGACTGATGGTGCAAGCCCTGCGGTATATATAAATATATACGATGCCTTAAATATCTATCACACAGGATATTCGAAATTAACTATAGTGATAATAAGTCCAAATATTGGATAAAACCTCACCTTTTATTTTCTTCAAATTTTCCAGGTTCATATGATGATGCAGCTGTTGATACGATCGAAGAACGATGGCATTCTGTGTCCTATTCCACAATACCCTCTTTATTCTGCTTCGATTGCACTGCATGGAGGAACTCTTGTACGTGTTACGTGTAATAATTAGTTTTTGAGAAACTAACTTGTCTTCTATTCATCACAGTTTCTGGCATTATTATATCACATTTGTAATTATTTTTCCAGGTACCTTATTATCTGGATGAAGCAACTGGCTGGGGTATGGAGATCTCCGAACTAAAAAACCAGTTGGAAACTGCCAAATCGAAGGGTATTAGTGTGAGGGCTTTGGTGGTTATAAATCCCGGCAACCCTACAGGGCAGGTTCGTTGATTCTCGAGCCTGATAATTTTTCCTTTATTTAATTGGAAAATTATACTTGCGAGATTTAAATATGTAATGGTTTCCTCTAAAGGTTCTTGCTGAGAACAACCAGCAGCAAATTGTGGACTTCTGCAAGAAAGAAGGGCTCGTTCTTTTGGCAGACGAGGTGATTAAATTAAAAAAAAAATCCTATTTCAATACCGTTGTTTTAGTAACTGAAAGTACTATGATTGTATTTGCTGATGTTGGTCTGGTTTTATTGCAGGTATACCAGGAAAATATATACGTGCCAGATAAGCAGTTCCACTCTTTCAAGAAAGTTGCACGGTCAATGGGTTATGGGGAGAGAGACATTTCCCTAGTTTCTTTCCAGTCCGTGTCTAAAGGTACGAGAGTATGTTTTAATGTTGTTGTAGTGGTAACGATTAAGGAAGAAAAACCCCTATTTAAAGTAAATGAATTTATGTTTCTTCAATTTTGTCCAGGCTATTACGGAGAATGTGGGAAACGAGGAGGTTATATGGAAATAACCGGTTTCAGTCCAGAGATACGAGAGCAGATATACAAAGTGGCATCTGTGAACCTTTGTTCTAATATATCTGGTCAGATTCTTGCAAGCCTTGTCATGAACCCTCCAAAGGTAGTTTATTCTCGTACCTCGTTCGTATTTTAATCACCATACAAAAAACAATGAAAACAAACCGAATTACCCTTTCAAAGCATGCAAATTTTCAATTCTATATAGTCTTCTGAAAAAAAAAATTGTACGATATCTATGCAGGTGGGAGACGAATCGTACGAGTCTTATTTCGCGGAGAAAGATGCAATTCTATCCTCCCTAGCAAGGCGGGCCAAGGTTATATATAGTCTTTTACACGATGTTTAACAATTTGCTTATAAAAAAAGAAAAACTCAGTTTAGTGTTTTACGTGATATCGAAATACAGTCTCTTGAAGAAGCACTAAACGGGCTCGAAGGAGTAAGCTGCAACAGAGCAGAAGGAGCAATGTATCTGTTTCCACGAATCGATTTGCCAAAGAAAGCAATAGAAGCTGCAGAAGCTGCTAAGATGGCTCCAGATGCTTTTTATGCTAAACGTCTACTTAATGCAACTGGAATTGTAGTTGTTCCTGGTTCTGGATTTCGACAGGTACACAAATAATGCTTTATTTTTATTTATTTATTATTATTTTTTGGTAGAATCTAGTGATGATGGTTGTATTTGTGGTGGTAGGTACCTGGAACATGGCATTTTAGGTGCACAATACTACCGCAAGAGGACAGAATTCCGGCCATCATTTCTCGTCTCACCGACTTTCACAAAGGATTCATGGATGAATTCCGCGCCTGAAGGATGAAATGAATAATGCTGTCGTTTTTTTTTTTCGGAAACAAATCGAGTGTTGAAAATGTCGGGACTGCCTGTTTATCTTGAATTTTGTTGGCTAATTTGTCTGAGCTTATCAGTTTTGCTTAGGCTTTTTTATCTTGAATAATAAACGCAACTACTCGATATTATGAAATGTTGAGGTATGAATTATAATATGGTCTGAACCTATGTTGCTGTTATTTGTTCATCTTATTTAAATAGAATTTTCTTATCATGTCAAGTTTGATGGATTTTTTTGATTGAAAATACATTTTATTGTACTGTAAATTTTCTTTTCATTTAGGACCAAAACTAAAAATTTTATGACCAAAATAACAAGTACCTATAATTGTTTTGTTGATTTCAATTTATATCATTCTTTATTTCCCGAATTAATTCTGAGTTTCTTCAAAATAATATATTCATAATAATGTTTTAATATAAATATCATCATGCACTGAATAATCAATCATGAGAATTCTTGCCAGAGAAATATGTCTCAAATGAAGTATTTTAAATTCATTCAACTCATGAGAAAGTTAACATATACTCAGGACAACAGTTTTCTCATCGAATTTGGTATTCGCAAAAGCCATAAGATTATAAGAGTAGCGGCAGCACAAAACAGGTCCAAGCACGTGAATAACCGAAACTGTAGGTCAAGGGAAGAATGAAAACAAATCACAGTGATGGATTTTGTGTTTTTTTTTTCATAGTCGAGCGATAACTGCTTCCACTTCAGTAGGGGAGTAAAGATGGTAATTTGGTGACACCTTGGCAATATCAACATTGTTGGCTGTAACCTGAAAACAAACGACACAACAGGGTAAACTAGTTGTCAACTAAGGATATATCAGGAACGAGCTCGAGCTTGGAAAAAACCGAGCTAATTTGGGCTCGTTAAATACTTGTATATGAATAAATATGTCAAATGTGCAAGTACCTTCTCCTCCATAACTTGCTTCAGGATGGAGAGTGCAATGGTTTCAGCTTCTTTCAGAGTCAGGTCCTGCAAGAGTACAATAAAAGAGTTCATATCGAGTCTCTTCGTTTTGAAGCCCACTAGCATTTAAATTACAAAAGAACGAGTGCCTACAAAAATGTGTGATCTAATAGAATAATCTTGAATTTTCAAGACCAATACATTATCCGAGAATCAGGAAGATAAAAAATTGTACCTTGTTATACTGCTCCTGCAAAGAGCTGTCAGCACCTTCGGAACCTGATCCAATGGCTTTCGCATTGCATTGCCAGAAAGTACCGGAAGGATCTGTATAGTAACTGCATTCGACAATTTATATTCATTATCTATGAAAACACATGCTAGTCTGGGTGGTACTACAAAAGGGATAGAGTACTACAACTTCTTTACGGCTGTTTCAGCATTCAAAAAACAATGTAACTGTGTTTTTACATGTAGCAACTGGTCTTAATTATTTCTGTGGGCAGTTTCTGCGTCTCGATTTAACAAGAGCATGTAATAACTAAGTTACAGGCTGCTTTAGATTTTAAGAAGATAATATCGAGCTAAAGGTTCAAATGAACTTCATTTCCATTTCTCACAGTTTGTTCCATGCCAGTTGACACAAATAAAGCAATAGACTACATAACTTTTACCAAGTTAAAAACAACAAGATACTTACAGGCTGGGACCATTCTCATCATGACCAGCAATGAGAAGAGAGACACCAAAAGGTCTTGACTGCATAATATATAAAGGACAAAAATTAGAAGGACAATCAAATTGTTTCTGTTTCGAAGTACAAAACTGAGTTAACCACACGTGTGTGTGTGTATGTGTGAAGAATATAATTAAGAATATCGATATATCTATTGTTGAAAGGCATTCTCTACTTAATAGCAGCTCCAAACAAATTCAAATGGAAGAATAATCATCAAGGGGAATATAGCACAGAGAGTAATGTGACATAGTGAAGGAGACAATACAATCATGCACCGAACCATCACTGGTAATCAAGTGAAAAAACATCTGCATGAAGTAAAAGAAGAGGCTAACCATTGATTCTTCATCCCCCTCACCAAATCGCAAGGCAAGATCACAAAGAGCTTGAGTTGTTGACTCGACTGTCATGGGCTCACCATACGAGAACCTATGGTTCTAAGAGATGCAAAAGTTCCACATTACGAATTGATAAAAAAAACTGATATAACTGACAATAATACAGATCATGGAGGATTTAAGTAAAAAAATACCTGAGTTTCAACCCGTGCATGTTCGACGAGTGTTCGAGCATCGGCAATTAAGCCACTCATGGCACACCCTATATGTTGATCAATTTCCATAATTTTCTCCACACTACTAGGCTCCTGCGAGCAGTTAAATTTGATCATTCATTAAAACATGGAATAAACTTTTGAGCAAAATATAACCCATTTTTAGGAGCCTCAGATAAACAACGAAGCAGCAACGCCAAATGATGATGACGGAGGAAGCAAGGGAGAAAACATATTAGTATGTGGAAGTAACACAATCGTAGATGGTATAACTTGATTTCTTGATATTTGTAATAAAAGCTAGAAATTAGACAGAACAAATCATATCCATTTTTTTTAATGTAAACGAAAGAACAATTATTCATTCCCCTAATCGCATTACTATAAAATATACAGTCGAGACAAGCTCCTAGGCACAAAAGTTCGACGTAAACAAAAGTTAATATAGAATCTCAATCCTTGAGCTAATAGAGACTCTTGAATGAGTCAAACATGACACCAAAATTTGAAGATAAAACATACCAAAAGCGGCGAGGTAATGCGCTTCTCCACGGCAAGAACTACTCCTTCCTTAGTCTTTACCCCTATTGCAGTTGAACCCAACTACAAAACACACACACACACACACACAGAATAAAAAAAAAAAAATAAAAAAAAATAAAGACACACAACATCCATAAACTAAATCAACACAATATTAACCTTAATAGCTTCAATGGCATATTCGACTTGAAACAATCTGCCTTCAGGAGAGAAAGTATTGACTCCTCTATCATACTCCGTCCTTACAGAAGAAACAACACAAATGCAAATTAAAACACAAAAACCTTACAAAATCCCCCCCAAATAAATTCGAAAACATAAAAAAAAAAAAAAATGCGATTATCGTACCTCGTGAGGAACATTTTCGATTGAAGCAAGCTACAGATTCAAAATCAACAGTTAAAATTGAGAGGATAAATAACTGATAATCTGTAGAGAAAAACAAAATCAGTAAAAATGGAGGATTGAGGCGGATCTGAATCCGACTAACCTTAATTAACACAACGAAGAAGAAAGACAAAAAAAAAAAATTCCCCTTTATATTTCTGCTACAGTACCTTTTCTTCTTGTCAAACAAGGCAGAGGTAGAAGAAAGAATGGACCAGTTTTTTGGGGTTTTGGGCTTTATCTGTTGTAATCGGGCCGTAAAATTAAGCCCGTTGTAATTTATATAGACTAGTTAATTAACTATGAAGCCCAAATGTATAAATGGATTCAAATATCGTTGTAAATGAGTAAATGACAATTATAACCCTCCAATAATTTGAAATAGAAAAAGGTAAAAATAAATTAAAAAAAAAAGGTGATTGTATAAAAAATAATTGAAGCAATTACACAAAGGTAAAAATGAAAATTACACAAAGGTAATAAATAGAGCCCCATCAAGATTCGATTTGCAGCCTTTTTTTCTCATATATTGAAGCACAAAAAAGCTCTACAAGAACACTAAATAATAATAAATAAATAAATAAAATAAAATAAAATAAAAAGGCTGAGATTTTTGGTATAGTGAAAGTATATTATGATGACAGCAACTTTTTTTCTCTTGTAAGCTTTACAATCTGCATACGGCAAACACACAGTTTCTCTTTCTCTATAAATTTCAAATATTAATAATAAATCACTATTTATATATACACACACACACACACACACACACACACTGTATCTATATTCTATACTACATGCCTATATATTTATTAGTAGTAGGTTTTGGGTTGTCTGTTTCTTGCACTGTGATTGGCCCCCCACAACCAAATTGGAAACTTTTGCTGTTTCAGAATCTTCCCTCTGCCTTTTAAAATCTTGCTTGGATCCAAGGGCATTTTCGGCACAACACACGTATATAATTATTTATTTTTCTGATAAATGTGTACTTGAAGTAAGAAATAAAGAGTCAATAATTAGCTGTAACATTAATTCTGTCATCAGTCTCAAATTAATTTTTTCACATGGGAATTTCAGATTTTTTTAAGCTTAATAATAAATTAATTAATATTTTTTTTTTGCATGTATGAAATTTAATTATTACATACGATTGTTGTTGTTATTACAAGGGAAGCAACCACAAGATTTATGGCCCCTTGAGAAATGCGAGTTGTTTCGTCGATTCATCACTTCTCTCGCTTGCTGCCCGACTTTACGGATTTGTTCGGAATGCTGAAATTGCGCCGTCGCCCTCCATTCTTCCGCTTTTCGATTCACGTCCGCCATTTTCTTCATTAGCTTCTCTTCCATATTTGATCTCATCCTCTGTATTTTCACCTGATTAAAATAAAAATTAAATTAAATTAAATAAAACCCCACATTTGTATTAATTATTACACACACACACATACACATATATATACATATATATGTAAGCAGCACGGGGGAGTAAAAGGGTGTCTTTGTCTGGCTGGTGGCTCAAGATAGAAGACAAAGCCAAACACAACCTTACAAAAAAACTATGAATATATATATATATATATATATATATATATATATATATATATATATATATATATATATATATATATATATATATAGTCAGAATAATATAGTAAGTTGGTGCAAGAATAATCCAATGTCTGAATTCTTGTTTTTTTTAGATTTGCTTAAATCTGTACTCCATTCTCTAGTCAAATCCCAATTTTATTTATTTATTATTATTTTTTGTCATGTTCACAAGTTTAATATCTCCTTGCTAAGGAATATTCTTTTTACCGCTGGAAAAAAAGAAATATATTTATTTATGGTCCTCCATGGTGGCCTATTTAGGAATTTAACACCTCTAAATTGTGATATTTCAACTTTACATGCAATAACTTTGCAAATATAGTATTTTTAGTCCTATTTTGCATGATTCTAAATTTTAATTTTAAGACTCAGACAAATAAACTTGACCGGTTTTACGTATATGGACGCTTGAAAATTATAAATTCGACATCTAACTCACTCTTTGGTAGAACTTTGATCGTGTGAGACGACAAATCTATGAACTAAATCAGAGGGGCATTTATAATTTTTAAGTGTCCATATAAATAAATTTCGGCGAGTTTGTTAGCTATATCATTCCAAACGACGGCTAAAAATCAAAGTTCGAGTGAAATAGGACAAAAAATACTATTTTTTCATAATTATTGCATGTAAAATTGATATCGGACAACTTGTAGGACTAAATCTCTAAACATGCCAAAATTACAATTTTCCCTAAAAATTATAGTCATTATATTATAATTTAAAATAATTAATAATAATTTTCCTAATTTTTTTTACTACGATTATAGTATTAATAATATGTTTTAAAGAATTCTAAACTATTTTAGCATTTTAATAATAATAATTAAAAAAAAAAGAATACTAATTAATTATTACCTCAAGCTTTCTTGATTCAGCTTCTGCTTTAGCACTTTGATGATTCACCCAAGCTTGAATCTTTGCTTCTTCTCTTTGATACCTGCAATTTTGTTTTTCATCTACCAGAAATTAATCTTCAATTCATATATTAATTAATAATAAAATTAATTTCTGTCAAATTTGTATTACCTGAGGCAGCTCTTGGTTTTCTCTTCTTCTTCCCACGAGCAAGGTTTCGTCGTGTCGGAAACACTTTTTCTGCACTCGTTGATCATTTCAAAATGCCTCAAACTCTTCGATACATCTTCTTCTTCCTCTTCTCTCGAGCTCCAATTCGAATTTGCAGAATCGAACTGTGTCCCGAAGTGGAGTTTGGTTAAATGGCACTCCTGCAATTGGGTTATGTCGATGGTGTTCTCGCCAGTGGGGGCCAACGGGCCGGACCGGTTCGCCGGAGTGTTGTGTCGCGCCGGCGAGGTGCTCAGGAATGGGGTCGGGCATCTTGAGGTGGTGGAGCTGCCGAGTGGGGTCATCTCTGTGCCGACGTCTCTGTGTTTCACTTCCTCCACCACCGTCTCTGCGGTTTTGTTGCTGCACACCAACTGTTTGACGGAATGCCTGAATAAGAATCCCTCTTGCATTGGCTCTGAGCAACCCAACTTCGGACTCGTTTGATTCAACTCATTTGGAAATTTATCTGCAAATATATATCAGTAAAGCTAAAAGCTGAATTCCCTTTTGCTTAAAAGGCAGAAAAAAGAAAATCACCTTTTAGAAGTACTTGTGCAGTAGGTGAAAGTGAGCCCCCATTGATGAGAGTAGCTTGAAAAGTAGAAACCTTCTCATCAGTGATTCTTGATTTTTCAGCAAAGATATCACCAAGCTGTGGCTTGTACCCACTGCATTGTCTGGTGAACATTCTAGAAGGCTCCAATGCCTTGAAAACTCCATGGCTGTAACTAGTATTATTATTAGCAGGAGAATCATGGCAAGAATTCCCACCGGCAAGCCATTTTTCAGCATCATCCCATTTGGAAGGGAAGCTCTTTCTTGAGTAATTGGCAGTGCTGAAGCTGAAAACAGGCCTCCCGGGTGTAGGCGGAGCTTCCACATTCCTCTTTGTGACTGAGTTCACCCCATTTTCTCCACCCCTATGTGCTGAAATTTCAGGTATGCCACTGTTTGCCATTGGAAATGACTTGACAAAATCCGAGGTTTCTTTGAGATTCAGCTTGCAAAGAGGGTCGGAAAATGAATCCAGAAAAGGGTTGCTTTTGCTTGTCTTGCTCAATGCATTGCTGCTCTCCAATCTTGCTCCCTGTGCCACACACATTGTAAGATTATGTTCCATTTTTGCCACACACACACACACATTACACACACAGATTACACACACAAGTATAAGAAGGAAAAAAGATTGCATTTTTACCACTTGGGAGGAAAACAAAGTTGAGGGTTCAAGATAGTTTCTGCTTGTGAGATCCATTGTATGAAAAATAAAAAAATTCTCAGATTCTTAAAAAAAAAAATCAAGTCTTTTTGTGAAATGGGATATCAAATTGCAAATGTTTTTGGAGTTGGTCAATTTTTTTTTTTACCTATAAGAATCAGTCAGTCCTCTGTGATGCAGCAACACTTATTGCTACAGAAATGTGACTGTGTATACTGTGGACTGTGGAGAACTGTGGAGTTTAGTTAAATAGTAGAATTTTATTTTTTTATAAAAAAAGAAAAAGAAAAGAAAAGGGGAGTGGCAACTGGCAAACTGTGGTGGAAAAAAAGAAATGATGAACAATGACTAACATGCAAATTAGGACAAAAAACAGTTCACAGCAAAAGCTCTTGCCCCAAAAATCATGCAACTCTAGTGTTTAGTCTTTGCTCTGTGTCTGTAGATAGGGGGTTGTGTTTGGATTTCTAGGTTGGAGAGTAAAACTGTCAAACAAAGATTATTTTGTATATCTTCTTGATTATTGTATTACATCTTCTTTCTTGGGGGTTGGGGATTTTTATTATTTTTATATTTATTTGATGCCTTTGTTGTAACATTTTATTGCATTTTTTATTTCATGGGGTTTGGCTTTGGGAGTTGAGAAAAAGCAATTCAAAGACTTGTTGGGTCTGGCCAAGAACAAAGATGATGAGAGAGAGAGAGAGAGAGAGAGAGAGAGAGAGAGAGGACCGATGAGAGAGAAAGTGAGGGAACCTTCTTATTTTCTTGATATCTGGAGTTAAAGCCCAATAGGGAAAACCCATTAGTTTTTGGATTGGGGCTCATCAATTATCATAATTGTTCAGATTTTGATATTTATTATTTAATATATATTTTAAGGGGTTATTTCATTTTAACCCCATGTACTCAACATCGTGACGTTTTCCCCCTTGTACTCCTACTTGCATCAGTTTACTCGCCATGTACTCGTTCGGTTGTCCGTCGATTTTTCAACAGTCAAACTTAACACCGTTAGTTTTAGGGGTTGAATGACTTAAATGCCCCCATCTTGTGTTAAAATTTAACAAAATTATATCTAAGCAACACCATTGACTTTACAAAAAAAACCTTGGGCTAAAAAACGAAAATGAAAAATTGAATTAATTCCCAATTGGCTATTTTTAAATTATTTGATTGCAATTCTAATACGTGGCTCCAACAGTGCAACCAATCATATTAAATAATAATAAGCAACAGATTTAATTATCTTGTGATTGTCTCCAATCATGCGGACATAAGTTTACCTTTTGTTCTTATCTATCTACTCAACAATGAGAAGAAATACCTAAACACTACAATTTACACACTGTAACGGCTATAAAAACAACTATTCGAGCGAAACGACGACGTTTGGAAGATGGCATAGCACAAAACGGGACGACATCGTTTAGTGCTAAAGACGTACGCTATAATTTAAAAAAAAAAACGTTCTCACGTTTTTATCCACTTTGTTCTTTCCATTTATTGAGCAGCTGACATGTGACTAGCCGTTGGTTATAAATCACGATCGGAGCTTCGATCGTAACGCGCACACACACACATAATTGAGTGTCTATTATAACATTGCAATTTATTACACCTCTTTTATTGTTCAATGTTTAGTCAATAATTAGTACTACAGTAAAGATTCCACATAATAACACAAGTTGAAAATTCAATCCCTATGTAAGACTAAAATGAGTGTTGTCTTAGGAAATAAATTGATTGTAATATAATCAATCCCATGACTTAGATAAGTTAGGTTTCATTAACATGTTGAAGATAAGCTAAATGGGCCCCACCAAACATGCTTATTTTTTAACCTATGATAATGCATTATTGATTAGACACCAATAATCACTCTGTTTTATTCCACCATTTTTTAATTATTAATAATTAAAAAACAAATCAACCAGTACTTCCATTATATATATATTATCATCTTTGCTCCATCATTCTCCATTAAGAAAAAATTTAATAAAACCAACCTCTCTCTTTCTTTCTATCTTGTTTCTTTGTTTAATTTGCTAAACATTATATTGGTGTGTGATTAAATGGCTATAAGGTTTTCGATTTATTCGTCTCCTATTCCGAGTTTAAGCCGTTTTTCGGACAAAAGGCCTAACAACAGTGGACTTTTGATGTGTAGTTCCAACAATCATGTCTCGGTTAATCTTCAGATCAGATCGTTCGATCGTAAGAACAAGGTGATTGGCATGTTTTATAATTTTTTGTGTGATAAATAAAAAAAAAAAAATCATATTGTTTGATGATCTGTTTAATTTTGTCTGCAGGTATTTGAAGATAGATCAGCTGGAATCGTTTGCTATAAAGACGAAAACGGGGAGATAGTATGCGAAGGATACGACGAGGGCCCTCGTTTTCACCACCAAATATCAAGATTTACGTGTAATTCAAGGTAACCGAATATTTAGTATCATTTGCATTACATATATATAACACTCAACTTCATGACATAAAAAGGAGTTGACTTTCTTTAAGATTAAGGTTGGACTATGATTTGAAGATTGCCAATTCTTGATCCATGTACATATATGTTTCTAGCAGGGCTAACAAATTAAATTATATATATAATTTATTTATTAATTTTTTATTTTTTTAAAAATTTGTGACAGTAGAGAATTAGAGATAGTGGAGCTGCTACAGAGATGTTGGGTGAATGTTGGTGCAGATGAGAATGAGATCAAAATTGCAGCAGCAGAAAAAGACTTGAAATCTTCATGTAATAATGGTTTCAACAAATTATTTTAACTGTAATAACTAATTCTTGACTTTCAGGATATAACTTAATATACTGAACTGATGATTTAGAATGTTTGGATATATATATGTAAAATGTCGAAAAAAAAACACCAGAACAATTTGTGAAAACCTCACTTTATACAAAATAATAAATTGGATCAACAAATTCCAATCTGTATACATCTTGACTTCTTACAAAGTACTAAAGAAACAGTATAAAAGAATGTGTACAAAAAGAATATCTAGACTACTTATATGGCCTGAAAATGCCATTTCTTTCCTAAGAAATAATCAAGAAACTGGCTTTTTCCTAAAGAATATAAAGAATAGGAGCAATAATAAATATATAAACAACGATTCAGCTGAAAGTAAATATATATATATGTATGTATGTGTGTGTATATATGCAAGAAAAAAAATGGGATTTTTACTCGGCCGAAGCCGTACTATCCAAGTTCTGAGAGTTGTCCTCCGACAACTCGGTTTGTGACTTGCTGGGAACAATGGTACTAGCAGGTGACCATTTATCCGGGACCATCAAGAAATAGGTGGTCATTGCTTTCCGGAATCTTTTTTTGTATTGTTCGGGTGAAATTATGGTCGGTGAAGCATTTTTCGGTCCACCTAGTATACCGGATGCTTTGACCCAAGTTTCGAGATGTTTGTCCCATGTATATTGTCTCATGAAATCGATGATTCCAAGAACAAGCTCTTGCTTCTCTTCGTCAACCCCAACCAGTAGTGAATAATCCATCACGTCTATATTCTAAAAAAAAAAAAAAAAGAAAAATCATCGGAAAATTTATTAGATCAATTTTTTTAAAATGGAAAAAAAAGGGTAGAAAAGAGAAGATGCAAACTTACTGCAAGGAATCCGGTGTCGTTCCATACAGCTCTTTCTAATAATCTTTTGGCTCTGTTTCCAACAAAAATTGGAGAAGTAGGCATTGATTCGATCAAGTTCTGATCAAGCAAAACCTTGTTGCTTCCAGAAGAATCTGGATTATATCGTGATCTAGAAGATCCTTTAAGATCGTAAAGTCGAATCGGGTTTCTTCCGAAAAGAAGATTCTCCATAACCAGCAGGTCCATTTTAGTTTCCTTCCCTCCTTTAAGATGTTTGGTTGTAACCTTTTCCACAGAAAAAAACAGAATAAAATTTAATTGCTTATTTCGCATCAATATAAGAAAAACAACTTATTTCGATTAATTCAAATTCAGTTCCTTGGATATATCATATATAAATAAATACCTGATAGATTCCAAGGATCTTTGCAAGGCAAGTTGGACTTCTCGAGCAAATTGATTCAGAAAGATATTTAAAATATTCAGAAGCAAACTTGGTAAAAGATTCCAACTCAGTCTTTGTCACTTGCTTGATAATAAACCGATCGTCCAAAGTTTTCGCGAAAAAGACATTGCTCTTGCCACCTTGGGCCCCCCACTTCTTACATCGGCTAAGTGACCGAACAAAGTCCACTTCAGACGGACAACATATCCTCCTCAATGCTTCAAACCGCTTCGCGAAATAACAAGTAACAGTATATTTAACCTTGCCAAGGTTTCCTCCATCGTCTGCAAAAGACACCTTCACATGCAAAGCTTTCGTATACGAGAGTGGATCTAAAGGCAAAGAGCTACGAGAACTCGTTAAAGACAAAAAGACGTCATCTCCAGATCCAAGGTTTCGGTAAGATTCCAACATCATTTCGTCCAACGAGTGAAATGACTGAAATACCCCTGCGTCAAAGGACTGCATAGTAAACACAGAGTCTGCGGTGTCCTTTGGTTTATCAGGCTCTTCATACATTTGGGCAACATAATCAGGTGAAACAAGTGCGTATGATATAATACTTGTAGGCTCATCATCATAAACTGGAACAACGGTGTCATTAACTCCCACAGGTAGGAGCAACCGGGCCCCACCTTGGAGTTCAGATTCACGATACGAAGAGATATACACTGGATCGTACGCACCCAATGTATCCAAATTCTGACCACCCCCCAAAAAGTTTATGTGGAACGATCGGTAGAAACTGACAAAGGGAAAACCTAACCAGCCTCCAGTGTCGTCCTTAGCATCGTAACTTTTGGTAGACAGAACGGAATGTAAATGAGACAACCTAAGATCCTCTTTAAAGTCTTCCATATCCAACTTGTCAGATGCTCCAGCAGTTGACGAATTTTTATCCCCTTCAACTGATTCGAGAAAACCATTGTCCTTTGACCGTAGACCTGTGTTACTCTCACCCGTCCATGCAGCATCGAGGGTATCTGACAGACAAATAGGAGCTTGCCCTTCAGAGAGGGCTCTACGAACAGTAACACCGGATATGAGTGGATCAGATTCATCAGTGGCCTTTGAACCACGAGAATGTGCACGTTCAATTTTATTTCCATGATCACAGTTCAAAAGTAGGTCAATTTTGTTGTGAACCCCCTCGGTATCACTCGCCTTGTTATCAGGATTTTGTTCAGCCTTAGCATCATCAGCTAGAGATTGGGGACTACCCAAGACTGGAATATTTATATCGAGAATATTCTCGGTATCGACAAGGGGTTTCTTGATGGGCTCTGAGGAGGCAACTTCCATATCGTCTGATTGGTTTTTGGTATCTAGAGTATCTGCATATATCAGGCGGTGGTCCCACACATAAGACTGGAAAATTAGTTGTCTTCTGACTCGGTTGAGCTCGAGAATATCAATGATAGGTTGTCCTTTTTTTGCCTCCTTTTTCAAAAGTTTCTGAAGTGATTCCTGCCAAATCACATAAAACACCAACAGCCATGTAGTAAAAACGACAGTCTCTTTACATTGTTTGGCATCAAATTTTACCACTTCCAGCAAGGTCCCTATTTCTACATATTTCCCTCAAATTTTGTTTTGTGTCGAAGAGAGACAATGTTACTTTGCATTAGAACCATGAAAGAAAAGACAACTTATGAAATTGCTACCCCTTTCGTTTCCAAATTTCCCAAAAAAATAGCTTTATGTGAAAAAGACTTTTTAATTTATTTTCAACTAAACCACACAAAAGAACAACTTTTGCAAACCAGAGCAATCATTTTTCAACCAGATGTTTGAACATTTGCGCTCGGTAATAGTAAAAAATCTAAATCGGATCTAATAATTTATTGCCTGTGCTATAAACCAATAATTTATTGATAAATTTGTTTGCTTCACTGGTTCTCAATATCAATTACAAAGAGAAATATAAGCCAATAACTGCTGTAGTGGAAAATAATACTTAAGATATGAACCTGATTCCATACCTCAAATTCTAACTTCTCCTTCTGAAGCATCACTTCTAGATCTGCTATCTGGCGTTTTGATTCTGAAGTCTTACCTAGGCTAGATTTCCTTTCTATTAGAAGACGAAGAGCATTAAGTACATCGGAGAACAAAAGCTCAGCTCGCCCAACCACCTGTTAAATAGACAAAAAAGGCTGGGGCATTTTGAAAATACTGAAATCCATAAAAAGAAAGAATAACGGAAAATCATACTCATTTCACCTCATTCAGCTCTCGTTCTAACCACTCCTGACATTCATAATTGAACTCGAGCTTTGAGGGAGGCAGGTACACTGAATGAACATGGATTGATGCATAACGAAAACAAGCAACCATTTTTCCAAATCTGCAAGCAACTCGACATCACAAATCACGTAAAAATAATCAACTTGATTGTCTTCAAACAGTTTGCCAAAGCTGAACCAAATACTTTTAGATTTGTAAAAAGGATTATAACAGCCAAAGAGAAGGATATGAAACGGCATAGTTGTAATAGTCATTTTCTATGACCAGCGGAATTATTCTCAGTAAACCCAGTTCTAAATATATTAATAGTCAAAGTCATATTTGACCCAAGAGAAAATCATACCCATAAAATCGAAGACAGTCTCTATGTAAAGAATGACCGCAGCTTGCCACTCTGCTAGCAGCTGCGTGGTTTGAAAAGCTTAGCTCCAAAAACTTTCCAAAGGACAATCCCCATGCAGCGTCAGACATCACAACTCTTCTAGTGGCAGGGGGGAACCCGTTAGTTCTTGGACATCTCAAGCAACGGTGCCACATCCAAATCTTTCCATCATTTTCACCAGGTAAAATAATTTCCGGTAGTCTCTTCACTGAGATGGTAAGGGAACCTTGTTGATGAGTATAACACTCTACATGAGCTTCGGCTGGCATCTCACATGAGCGGCATACATAACTCTGACACAAAGGTACACCCTGTCAGTCCATTCACAGCTAGGACATTCTAGCAACAGGTATGAGTGCAGAGAGAGAGAGAGAGAGAGTACCTGATCAAATAAATGATCCCGTAGAAGGCGACCTAGTGGCTTGTCAGAGCTACCATAATATTTGATCCGAAACATATGGGATCTTTCACAGACAGTGCCCTTCCATACACATCTAGACGATAAGGAGACCAAGATGCCTTGGTGTTCTGAAGGAGAAGGGGGAAATGCTTCTACATCAGGCTGTTCCTCGAGAGTTAGTCTTCCATCAGGTTGCCAAGCTGATGTATCTGAAACATTTCACGTAGCATCAGTACATTCACTTTGCACAATGTTGAGTTTTATATCTCTAAAATCGCTAGAGATGTAACTATCACCTGTGGCAGAAACTCTACCTGCTTCAACAAATTTCGCATCTGAAGACATGGCCAAGTCAATGAGGCCTCCATCATCTGATGCAATATGATGAGACAGCTCATTCAAGGAGCAATGCTGAAAACCTTTATCAGAGGACGAGACAAGGGGGTCGGCAGACTGAGAGCTAGGAGCAGGAATCTTATATATATCAGAACATTCTTTTCCGTGAAAGGAGGCACGTGCTACCTTGGTTTGATCTGAACTAGGCATACTATTTGACCTCTGTGGTTCATCAAAGGACTGAGGTACTATAGATATGCAATTTTCAATGTTTGATAGCTTATCTGGAAGTGCAACAGTAATTGGAGAGCTCAATGGAAGTTCTGGTAGAGTGGCACCTTCATCAGCAAGAAAAGATGTCTCCACAGCCAGGTGATAAGCCGCAAAAATTCCATATTGCACAACATGTTTCACTTTCTTCAACTCATCCTCATTGGCGCCTCGAAGTAATATCTGAAGACAAAATAAATAGCATCACATACTCTTAGAAAATGCTTAGAGAAGATACTGTAAGCCATTCCACAATATACATTGGATTTTTCACCAATAGATTTTTTAAACATAAAAAGGGAAGAGGGTACAATTATAAGAACGATTGAATTTTTTGCAACACACTTACTGTGCATCCCAGTGGCTTTGGACAACCTTCAAAATACATGAGAGTCTTCATCAGCTTCTTTCCAGCCTGACCAGCAGCATTGTGCACTTCTGAAAACCTCTCAACATGGAAATTATCACAATATCCTAATGCTTGTGATGAAAGATGATCAAGTGAAGGAACAATTTGGGCACCAGTGCAACGGGAAATACGCTCCAAAAGTGGCCTTTTAATATTTAAAACAAGTGATATGTCTTTTGCAAGAAGGTAATCCTGGGCATAACGTGAAACAGATTTCTCCACCAGAAGAATATCAGGATTATGTGCTTCTATTTTGGCAACAGCCATCTTCAGATGATCCATTTCCTGGGAACATCAAATGCAATCACAAAAGTTAAGGAAGATATTACTCATACGTTGATATACAAGATAATGTCAATAAGCTCAACCTGTTGCAACAGAGTATCGAAGCTTGAAAGAGCATTAGAAATCCGATGGTATTCAAGAGCCCCTCCAAGGATCAGCAACCGAGGTTTCTCTATTTTTGATGCCATCCTTCGATGAGCCACATTTTTCTTGCAAACAATCCCTTTGACAATCATACTATTGAGTAAAAAACAGTCATCACAAAAAACAAAATGAGAAATAAGAAATATAATCGTATAAAAGATAGATCAGCAGTAAAAATGAAGAATGAAGCAATAACAAATTATGGTTATATACATTGGTGGTATGGTTTTAAATAGACAACTCGTGGAGGAGACAGTTAATGTGCATTTTGAATTGCTGTATAGTTAAAGATTAGATGCTAGTTATCCTCTAGGCTAGATTTCAGACGTATTAAAACACCCAAATTCCTGTACGAAAACCTACCAGAAAAATGAATAAATTTCATTCTAAGCCAACACAACTTATAGACATCCTCATGCAATTTGAAAACAATACCAAGTCCACTAAATGAAAATAGAAATAGTTATTCAGTTTTAGGTCGTAAGATAAGAGTTATCTAAGCAATTACCTCTCGCTTGGAAGCCCTGAAGTTAAACATTTTACTTTGGCGTATTTCCCAGGGTCCATTTGCCCTCCCTTGCTTGTGTCTGGCTTCAACAATGTAGCGGCCTCCCATGACAAAGCTGTAATTATTTCTAACCAACTCTCGTTGTCATTTTCCTCCTCTCCAAGAAGATTCTCCACCTGCAAGAGCTGAGCTATTAAAGCCCGAAAATGACCTTCAACCACATTCTTCAGAGCTCTCTTCTGATCATTCGATTTGTCCTTATTTCGGGAATCCCCACTCCCAAAGCTACTTGAATGGCGTAGATATCCCCATTCTCCAGCAGCATCCCCATCATCATCTTCATCGTCAAACAAAAGTGCCTCCCTTTCATCTTCCTCATCTTCTGGTTCAGGAGGTAGCCATAGCACTCCATTGTTTTCAAAGTCCACAGGTTCAGTATCAACATCTTCAGCTACATACAAAGACGAAGGTGCCTCGCATTCATCACTGATATCTTGTTGAACATCTTCGCTTGCATTCTGCTGGATGTCTTCTGAATTTGGGGAATCGAAACTATACTGTAATGGGGAGTCGAAACTATATTGTAACGGGGAGCTGCTTGAACTTTTCGAATCAACAGCATCTCTATCGGGATGAACTTTAAGTGATTTATGATCACTGTTGATGTCATTAAACTGAACATGACTATAGTAGCTAGTGGCCTGGGAAAAATGACTTGTACAGGAACCGAAGTGAGTTATTCCAAATTCATCATCATCATCATCGTCATCACTCCTGTTACAAGAATGTGCACAATAGTTAGTGCTATAGCCTATGACATTAGCATACATAAACTATGTTAATGGAGTAGTTTTGGACTATGGCATTTCATAATTTTTCTTCGAATATGTAAGAGATTTCCAATGGAGTTACGACATAAGTCTAGTAACTGAACTACTACTTGCAGTACAAGGGCAGGCATCATTCATACACTAAATAGTCCATTAGAATCTAAAACAATAGCTTATCTTGCAATTTTTCAGATATTACACTTAGATCAAAGCAGTGTGCAATTACATACAACGAAAGACAAAAGGACAGCATAATATATTGTCGAGCAACATTGTTATCCTTAATGATGCAGTAGCCAAATGTAGTAGGTTCTTCAAATAAGCAGACCATAAAGAACGTACTGATTGACATAATACTGAAGGCACTTGCTAAGTAAGCAATTTTTTACATTCTACGTCCTAGATCAAGAATTCAAAAGGGGGATTTGGATAGAACCTGTTTTGGCAATATCCAAACTGTTTTTGTGACATGTTTGGTTCTCCGATATCTGCATCATGATCACTGGTAGATGCTGCTCCAACGACTTGTCTTTCTAAAGATGTTTCCATTAATGGCGATTCGTATGGGCTGAGCCCGACAGACTGTGGCATTGATGTAAAGGTGATGCTACTGCTGCCACAGGTTCCACTGGACTTGGTGCTGAGGAAACTCGTCGCTGATGGTGAAATACTGCGCATGTCCAGGCTGGAAACCTGGACCCCATTATCAACCCTTATTATCATATCTTGTTTCCATTGCTTGAAACAATAATTACAGACCCTAATCTTATCCCACTCTTCTAGTGGAGTCTTTGCTGTAGTAGGTTCCGTCGGGACTGAATTTGAAGTGCACTTGGCACAGAAAATTCTGCCGCAGAGTCGACAATGGTGCCTTCGGTTAAACAGGGTGAACTGTGAATCACATTCATAGCACACCCTGCAGCTCTGGTCTGGCATCCAGAAGTCTCTCGAAACATGTGCAGGCTCCGACCGCCATGGTATCCAAGATTTAAATAAGCCTACCAGATCAGAAAGTGTCCTATCCTTGTCATCCATTGACTTAAAATCCCTCTTTCACCTCTCATTGTAGTATTCTCATTTCCATCGAACTTTAAGATCCATTCCCAACCCGAAATCCAGAGTATAAAAACAGAGTAATTCTAAAACGCTATCCCGGAAATAAGCCTAATCATACAAACCAATCAATAACTTTCACACTTAGTATCAGAACAGAGTAATTCTTAATCAAATCTTCCGAATAAGCCCCCTTATATATATATATATATATTCAGATATCAGATCAAAAAGTAAAAATTCCACCAGCAACACCAAATATCAACCTCTACAAGCTGTGAATCAAGCTTGATTCTCCACTAAAAAAACAAGGAGTAAAATTCCACAATCTCTCTCTCACCCTCACTACTCATAACTCAATCAATCACAAACACAAATCCTATAATTGAAGGCCTAAATTAAAAACTCCCAAATCGTTCTCAAAATTCCAAATCCTGACAGTGGCACAGTGGCCAAAAAACTCAAAATTGAAGAATCATGCCCACGAGAAAGACGAAAAGGAATTCGAAATCAATCTCTTCCCTGAAAAACGGAGGATGAATAAAGAAGAATGTACTAAAAACCAAACCTTTTTTAGACGTACAATCCGCCAAGCAAATAAGAAAGAGAAACACGAAACGATTGGAATTCAATCAATCAATCAATCAATCAAAAAACCAATTTAGATCCTTCTGCCGGAAAACAATTCAATTCACTCTGGACGCGGAATTTAGGGTGTGAATCCCTCTCAATCAAAGAGAAAAACCGCATCTCTGCCCTAATTTGGTCCCCCCGAAATGCATGAAAATTAAGTATGCCTTAATTATTCAGTTACGTCACCAGATAATGATGCATGCATACATACATACAATAATTCTGGAACTATATTGAAATTTTTGAGAAGGGAGTGCCTGTGAAATATGTGTGAGCTGGCATCAATCAATCAATCAAAAAGAATCAGAGTGTGATGACGAAATTACGAGAATGACCTCCCCCCGAGAAATGGTGCCACGCGGCGCGTGCACAGTTGAAGTCGGGGTTTTTTCTTCGGGAAGCGCGTGGTGCGACGACTGCAATCAATCATGATTCATGGGTACAATATTTTGTGACCGATTTTCAATTGATGACCAAAGTCGCACGTTTTTATATGAAGACGAATCTTGAAAATTGAAATGAAAACATGACATTATTTTTAAAGATATAATAATAATAATTATATAATGTGATTAAATAAATCGATTAAAGTATGTACTTTTTTTTTTCAGCTGAGAAATATAATAGTTCCGGGGTTTTTTTGCAGCATAATAAATTGAATTTAATAAATATTTAAAGATTTTTTTATTTTGAATTTGAATAATTAAATTCTGAAATGGGCCCAGTATTTATAATTTGGGCTATTATTTTGTGGAAGGGTTGTGGAAATTAGTGTCCAGTAACTGATATATGCAGCCCTATCCAAATTATGATTAATATTAGAATTAAGATTGTAGTGTTAAGATTGGGATTATAATTCTGATTAGTATGACAATTAGGATCATGATTAGAGTTAGGGATTATCATTAATATTTTGCATGTTCATCTATAATACGTTTAAAAATATTTTTATTTTTCAATATTACAATATTTATAAAATACTAATATAACGTTTATTATATTAGAAAATTAAATAAAATAATGATAATAAAAAATCGGCTCGAGTTTTGTCAAAATTATATAAATTAATGATAATACGTTTGGGCTCGAGGTCGAGCCTGCCAAATCTGGCGAGTTTATTAGAGTGCGAATGTTGTAATAACTAATAATCATATATCATAATATTAAAAAATAATTAAATGAATTTCTACAAAAAGGAAAATTCACAAAAAATAAAAAAATAAAAAAATGAAGGAAAGAACATGAAAAACTCAAATCTCTCAAGCACCCAGCAAACACTTCCATTTCACGTTGGATTTTATTAACAATAAATAAAATAAATAAATAACCGTTTTCACCGTTTCTTGAAAACTGCACGAATCAAAACCTTATTTTTTTTATTACACAGTTAAAATTAAAACACAAAAAAACCAAGAACTGTGGTTTGGAATTAAAGATTTAATATGGAGTGTGTTTGACTTGGATAATGCGAGAAATATTTCAAAAGTACTTACTGCATTAAAGCTGACAACACAGCGTCTTAGTAATAATAATACTTCGCAATTTAAGTAAAATCACAGAAAATCACTCAGGATTTTTTATTTTAGTTTATTATAAAGATTTAATCTTTTTTCTGTTTTGTTTTGTTTTTGTTTTTTTGGTTGGGATTGTGTTGATCTAGCGGTGGATAGAGGTAGTCCCATCGCTCATTCGATCAGTTGATAAAGATTCTTGAAACACACGATTTTTTTTATTTTTAATTTTTATAAACTTATTTTTTGGGTTTGAGTTTTATTGGGTCGGGGTGGAATTAAAAAAGTGGTGGCATTAGGGTTTCTTTTATTACCCTCTTTACGCAATAGGAGTATATTATTATTATTATTATTATTATTGATTTGTTGCCGAAGCTGCGATCTCTGTTGATTTCTTCATCTGGGTTGTTGGAGTTGCTTTAAATCTTCATCTGGGTCGGTGAGTTTTTCTTGTTTTCTCATCTGGGTTTCTCTCAATTGTTGTTTTTTTCTGCTGATTTTGTGATTTTTTCTACAAGTTTTGGTTGTTTGTTTTTTTTAGGGTTCTTCTCTTTTGAGAATTGAAGTTGATTTTTTGTTTTTTTTTTTCCAATTGCTGATGTTGAAGAAGATTGTTTGCCTTGTCTTTGTAATGTGCTGTTAATTTAATTTTTTGTTTTGCAGATCAAGTTTTGATTTTGTTTTTTTTTTTTTTTTGGGAAAAGAAGTTTTTTTCAAGTTGGTAGCTGTAATTGAAGTGAAGCTTCATCCATCAAAACTTGGTGGCATGTTGCTCGAACGCGGTTTCGAATTTCGAAGTGGATAACGAGATTTTTTAGAAGAATTCTTTTCACTATAGGTTTTTGCCCTTTTTCTCCGAGTAAGAGCAAACAACTTCGGAATATGTTCCACACGCAAGGAGCTTTGAAAAACACTTGCAATCTTCTAGCCGTTTTATGTAACCGAGCAGCCGAAAATAAGCATAGCCAAAATGTGTTAGACGAGAGGCCAAACTTCCCGTTCCCAGAAATTGTTTCTTCGGGGCGCTTAGAGGTGCAAATTGATGCTTCTTATATTCGTTAAATCGTTAAAATGTTAGCTGCATTTGACATTTGTTTTGTTATTATGTTCGACACAGGTCCAAACATTGAAGAATCCTACCGTAGATGAGTTTAGCAAAGTTCTTGATTCATCGCAGGCAAATCTTGTGTATTTACAAGGAGAGCATTTGGAGAATGATAAAATAGGATCAATCGTTTGGGGAGGGTTTGAATTGTCCTCTCCAGAAGCTATAACCGGACTTTTTAACTCCAAATTGCCAACTACGGTATGTTATTTTCTGTAACAAAATTCATTTCTGGGTTTTTTTTTGTTCCGGAATGCTAATTACTCTGTTGTATATTCCTTGTTAAGTTGTTATCACGTTTTTACTAATTGGTTGTGGGCTACGTACTACGGACGTACATATGTAGTTTCTTTTTTCGAAATATTATTAAGGTTAAAGACGAGCTTTGTGTCTAACTCTAGTAGACGTTTGCGATTTTATCTGATTGGGAATTAAACTCTTAATGAAGGTGTATTTGGAGGTACCAAATGGTGAAAGGTTGGCCAAGTCTCTTCACTCTAAGGTAAATGCAATGCGTAAAATTTTCTAGACGTTAGTTTTGTACGATATAAGTTCATCTACGAATTTTCTAATCACCTTTATATTTTTAGGGAATTCCTTACGTAATATACTGGAATAACTCATTTTCGTGCTACGAAGCAAGCCATTTTCGCCACGCATTATTCTCTTCAATACAGAGGTATGTGGTATTCATACTCGTTCCAAAATTTAATCCTACCATTAAACGCCAAATCGTTCGATCTTTTAAGTTCTTCTCTTTTGCCGATCTGCAGTTCGTCATGCCATACATGGGATTCGTTTAAACTCGCAGATGCCTCGTTTAGGCTTCACTGTCTTCGAGGTAATAATCTCGTTAACGATGAAGTAGGCCCCACTCTTATTGGGGAAGCTCCAAAGATTACCGTTGACGCCCCTGAAATGGAGGAGGATCGTGTAAATGATGAAGATGAAGATGAAGAAAGCCTTTCTTCTGGTCCCCTTCCCGCCATTAAAATATACGACGATGATGTGAATACGAGGTTTCTTGTCTGTGGAAGGACAACTTCTTTGGTAATGGCGTGGACTTTATTTATTATACGTATATATATCGCTTCTTTGCCTTTATACTTAACTGGAAAAAGGGTTCTTAACATTTTTTTTTCAGGATGCTTCTCTGCTCGGTTCTTTGGAGGATGGTCTTAATGCACTCCTCAATATTGAAGTAAGTTTCGCCTCGATACTACTTTCCAATTTCCCCGATTTCAGTACTGATTTATTTATTTATTTTAAATGATGATTCAGATGCGAGGGAGCAAACTTCATAACCGGGTGAGGTATGTGTATGTATTGCTGTTCTAACATATATACTAAAACACCGAGTGAAGAATTTTGGTTCTATGTGGTGTATTAGTTTTGAGTTCTGAAAAAAGTTTTTTTTTTTTTTTTATATGGTTAAGTGCGCTTCCTCCACCACTGCAAGCGGGCTCGTTTTCTCGTGGGGTGGTTACAATGCGGTGTGATTTATCGACCACTAGCTCAGCTCACATTTCTCTCTTGGTATCTGGGAGTGCTCAGACATGTTTCGATGATCAGGTAACTATGCATTATTATAATTTTACTATATATAAATGTGTGTGTGTGTGTGTGTATTTGCTGACTCTTTACAATGTTCAACCTATTTCTGTAGCTATTGGAAAACCATATAAAGAGTGAAATCATCGACAAGAGTAGGCTGATTCAGGCAATGCCGAACTCTGACGAAAACAAACCACCTCTGTCCGAACCTCGTAGATCCGTCTCGATAGCTTGTGGAGCAACCGTATTTGAAGTTTGTATGAAGGTTCCTTCTTGGGCTACACAGGTTACTAATTCTTATTAATTTTTAATTTGCAATTAGTTTTAGACCGTTGGCTTTTTACCTTCTTGTGGAGCAACCGTTTTTTTACCTTTTGTTTAGATGATCTAATATAGTAATTTTCGCTGATCGGGGTCTTTTATAGAATCGAGCAAAAATTACTTGATTTCATGCCACAATTTCCCGCGAAATTTTAAAAACATCAACAGAAATCGGACAAAATATTCAAAAAAATAAATATTCGTAGAGCACAATAAAATTTAACAGTTTGCACGACTGCAATTCTATTTATGTCAAATTAAAAGGAACGAACATTGCGATAATCTTGGGCTTCGATAATATGTATAGAGATTTATACAATGCTATATCATTTGGGAATTATTGGGTATATTCTCACGTTTATTTACATCTTTTTCTAAATAATATTATCTTTTAGGTCTTAAAAGATTTTTTTCTTCTTGATTTCAATTTCAGGTCTTGAGGCAACTAGCACCCGATATTTCGTACCGTTCTTTAGTTGCACTCGGAATAGCGGGTATCCAAGGATTAGCTGTAGCTTCATTTGAGAAAGAAGATTCCGAAAGACTTCTTTTTTTCTGCACTAAACAAGAAAATATTTCCCGTTCAAACGATTTTAAATTGACCACCCCACCATCGTGGTTAAGAGCTCCTCCTCCTAGTAGAAAGAGGCCCTCCATTTACCAAGAAATCGTCCCCGTTACTTTAAACGGTTTGTCTTCTTCAGTAAACGAGAACAATAATAAAGAAATTAAATTTTCAAACGGGGTCAACACGTCACTTTCAAGTGCTAAACGAAAAATTAAGATAGCTGCACTCAGGCCGATTCCTCATGTTCGTCACCAGAAAATGCTTCCGTTTTCGAGAATTGCCGATTTTGATTTGCACCACCACCTAGATGGGAGTTATGTGAAGGCTAGTTTGCCTTCTGCTCCTGCCAAACATGTTAGTGTTACTCCGGTTAGTCGGAAATCGGGTTCCGGTTCTTATCAAGCCAAACAGGTCATATCTTTGAATCCACTTCCTTTGAAGAAGCATGGTTGTGGAAGAAGCCCTTTGCATGTGTGCTCCGAGGTAATTTCTTCGTCTTTTGAGTGTATGTGTGTGTGTTTTTCCAAATTAATGGGGATGATAAATAACTTTCGTAAGGCCTTCGTTATACTTTTCTCAGGAGGAATTTTTGAAGGATGTAATGCAATTTCTCATCCTTCGAGGGCATAACCGTCTTATTCCTCAAAACGGGATTGACGAGTTCCCAGATGCTATACTCAATGCAAAGCGTCTCGATCTCTTTAACTTGTACCGTGAGGTGAGACTTCTTTTTACAATAATAATATTTTTTTAAAGAAACGGAATAATTATTAATTACTTCTACCAAATTTTTAAATGGGATCTTAATCAGGTGGTTACGAGAGGGGGTTTTCACGTTGGCAATGGCATCAATTGGAAAGGGCAGGTTTTCTCGAAGATGCGAAATCACACAGTCACCAATCGAATGACCGTACGCCTCGAAACTCAATCTTGATTAATTAATTTACCCTTGATTATTTGTAAAAATAATAGTAATATTCAATCTTTTAATCATAATATCGTTTTTTGTATCGTATTCTAAACCAGGGTGTCGGAAATACACTCAAGAGGCACTACGAAACGTACCTTTTGGAATACGAATTGGCCCACGACGATGTAGATGGAGAATGCTGTTTATTGTGCCACAGGTTACACTTACAACCTTCTTTTCCTTCATTATTATTTCTTAAATTAATTAATTAATTTATTAACTAATTTTGAATATTTTTCGACCTTTAACAGTAGCGCGCCTGGAGATTGGGTTAACTGCGGTTTGTGTGGGGAGTGGGCCCACTTTGGCTGCGATCGACGGCCTGGTTTGGGTGCCTTTAAAGTAATATTTTCATATTCCCTAAAAACATTAAATCGTGAATTGTTTCGTCTGATTTTTTATTTTTTTAACCACGATTAAATGATTTTAACAGGATTACGCCAAGACAGATGGGCTGGAGTATATATGCCCACAATGCAGCGTTTCGAATTACAAGAAAAAGATACCGAAATCGGGGAACGGATATTCTTGATGCCACCTCATAAATTCTTTTTTTTAACCACCCAATATTTCTTTTGGTCCTTTGCCAAATCCTCAGTGTTGAGTTTTTCTCCAAGGAGGAGAAAATATTTTCCCACTCATTTGCAAAGAATGCAACATATATTTTGAGTCAAGGGGTTCAATAGATAGATCCTGCAAAAAGGTGGGGCAAATGTGAGATATTGAATACATGTGGGGGGTGGAAATGTAATTGGAAAAGAATGTAGGATGTAGGAAATGCTCCCAATTGTGGAGTTTGGGGGGCTGCTTCGGTACATTAGCCAAATTAGTTACCTGATGTGTAATATATGCATTTTGATATTTTTTTTTAAAACATTTTGTAGTTTTTTTTTTGCCTTCCTAGTTTTATGAAAATGTAATGAGTTCCAATTGCATTAGATTGCTAATTTTTAGAAGTTGGTCGTGTTTATAAATATGTTGGAAAATCAGCTTATATTGAAAAAGCAGACTTAAATGTGCTTTCAGAATTACAACTTAAACAAACGCAAAAGTTGATAATGCAAACACTTTAAAATAGATTATACGCAAAAAAGAAGAAGCTTATAATCTATTTTTAAAAGTGTATGCAAATATTACCTTAGTACGATACCACCAAAAAGTTGGGGCTTAAATGCAATTTTTGAAAAATGAAAGGACAAATAACAAATTAAAGAGATGCTTAACTACGCCAATTTGTGTTACATGGGGATCAACAAAAGCTACTAAACAATGACATAGGGTAATAATAATTGATAGAACATTAAAGTAGATAATAATTATAAAGTAAAGAAAACTCCAAAAAATAAAATTTAAATTTGACCCAAATTTCAAAATAAAGCTTTCATTCAAAAACTTAATTGCCATTGAGTTGTCATGATTAAAGTTGTGGTTTTGAGTTCAAATACCAACTTTAGTGTGAGCATTCCATATATATGTATATCACAATAATAATGAGTGCCAACCTAATAATTGTGCTTTTATATAAGCCCCACATGCTCTTCATAAAGTTTTTCAATTAATTTAGTTATATCTTATTTGTTTCTTTAATGACATAATTTACCTTATGCATTTATTTATACTCCTACTATAAATTAATACAATCGAGACTAGTAAATTTCTATTAATTTAACAATACATTAAATTATCGAACAATTGAAAGAAATTGTATTCAAGCAAAGTTATTAATTTACCGTAGTTACACAATGCTGATGTGTGGACTGTGGATCACCTTGATGAATTTGACGGAAACACGGTGTAGGTTTCTTGTGCGCGAGCAGATGATCCAACCACGTAAAGAGGAAGACTTGGCTATCAAACCTGTAAAACCAAAGCACGTGAACTAAGTTGGGGGTTGATCCGACGAAAACCCCTCCGACGCTAAGTCAGATGCTAGCACGGAGAATAGGGTAGAGAACACATGATCAATAAAACTCAAGAAATTTGCGGGGAACGTACTTTTTGCAGTGGGATTGGTGTCTTATTTATAAGGTTCTAAAAGGCGGTTATCGGGTTCGTGGCGGTTAGGGGTCGTCACACGATAAATCGGCGCGGCGGTGATTAATCGGAAATAAATTTATTTTTAAATTTAGTGTACTATATATATATTTTTTTTATGGAGTGTAATATATTTCTAAATATCTTATATATAAAAGAAAGAAACGCTGGTCAACCCTAAAAGGCTAAAACTCTAATAGTATTTCAGTAATTAATTATTTTTAATATTTTTTTCTCTACTAACTTGTAACCATCATTTTTAACAATTATCAAAATTGAAACTAAATCGTGAAGAATCCTATCCTAATGGTACTTCTGAACATATTTATTTTTAATATTTTTTTCCTACTAATTTTCAACAATTATCAATCTCCTATTTTCATCAATATATTAAGAGATAAATATAAAAATTCGATTTGTTAAAATCTTAATCTATATATTTGAATTGTAATTCTTAATATGTAAAATTTAAAAAAACTAATGATTTATAAAATATGAATAGTACTATGTTATTAAATTTTACTATATGAGGTTTAAAAAATTAATGTTATATAAAATAATCAATTATTAAATTGATTTTTTTTTTCACTTTCAAAATAATATCCACGGGTAAAAAAAAAAAGCTAGCTATTTGTAATATTCAAAATATATATACAAGAATATTTAAACATAATTATATCATATTATTCGTATGTTATTATATAATTCTAATAACAAACCATAAACTCGTGTTTTGGGTTATCGCCAAGTTCTTCTTTTTTGCCAGTTACAAGTTGACGGGTAGTACTTGGTTTGGTTTTGGAAGTTGAAAGAATTGGAAAAAAAAAAAAAAAAAAACAAAACCTATTTTCATTTTAGTTTAAATTAAAAAAAAAAAAAAAACCGATTTATTGACCGATATATCGGTTTGACCCGCCAAAAATCGCAGCAAACCGCCTCGCCGTAAAAAAACGATATTTCAAACCGCCTTAACAAAATCGTAAAAGTTTATAACCGATAGCGTTATGGCGGTCGCGGCTGTCACGCCCGATATTTAGAAGACTGCTTATTTATACTTAATTTATTAGTGGGCCCATTAAATGCCGACTGAGGTATATCACGAAGAAGTTACACAGTAAAACGAATAATTACCGGAGCAAAAGTTAAAAAAAGGAAAACGTATAAGAAAACAGGCACGTGCGGCTTTTTTCTATGCGAAGAAATTCAGCGTCAGAGATGCCGACGACAAGTCTTCCCGACATTCAAAATACCAAACCTGTCCCTTTAGATTTTTTTATTATTATAAATAAATAAATAAATAAAACTGGAGTATTAGTGAAAAAAGTTATTTTTCTGATTAATGTATTGTTCCTTTATTATTTATTTATTTATTCCGGATCAAATAAATTCTTCAAACAGAACCACACCTGAAAAATGACCCATCATACTACAAATGAGGGGCAAAGTTGTCATTCTATACAAAAGATCAAAAAGGGAAGAAGCATAAATAATCAAGGGTAAAGGGGCAAATTAGCAAATATCCAAGGCTTAAAATGCAATTATCCAAAAAGATGAGGCTGAAAATGCAAGTTTCTAGTTGGGCTGGGCTGGAAAAGAAAAGTAGGCTTTAATTGCTGAAGGTATTAATAAGTACAAGCGTGTGATATTATTTATTTATATATATATATATATATATAATATATATATATATATCTGAAATGATTTGTGCAGGCACAAATTAAACATTCAGGCACATTTTTTACCATTTCTCAAAAAACAAAAGGTAAAAAACTCAAAAAACTCTCTCTACCCTTTCGATTTTCGTTCGCAAAGCCCGTGCAAATCGTCAACAGATCGGAGGTAATTTTTACGTTTTTACGATCCTCTTGTTATGTAGATTACGAATCCGAAAAAAAAACGAAAAAAAACGATACTTGGGAACGCTCGCGCGATTTCACGCGAGCGCATCCACTTCGCTCGTGTAAAATCGGGCGAGCGTTTCAATTTTAATTTTTTTTTTTTTTTTTTTTTAATAAATTTAATAAACTGCATTTATTGCTTAAAAAACCGGCTTTGAGCATTTCAACAGTGCTCGCCTGATTTCACACGAGCACTGTTGAAATGCTCGTGCATTTTTGCGCGAGCAGAACCAAGTATTTTTTTTTTTCGTTTCATTATTTAAATGTTTTTTTTTATTAAATGAAATATTAATAAAGTGTTTATTTAAAATGTAGAAAGGTAAATAGTTATGGTAAAAAGGTAAAAAACCATGGTAAAAAAATGCCTGAATGTTTAATTTGGCCTGCGTATATCACTACCCTATATATATATAGTCCGCCCAACAAGAATTGCAGCAGCACGTGCATATTTAAGTACCACATATGTATATATTTTGCTTTTTTCTTCCTTTAAATGGTAAAAACAAATCTAATTTAGCTCCAACTTTATGAATTTGATTTTTGTTGGATATTTAAATTATTTTATAAATTTTATGAATATTTTTTATTTACTGTCACAATCAATTTCCTAAATCAAAACTTCATTTAACACATAAAATTGATAGGAAACTACACTACATTGATATCTATGATTTACTGGTGAGGTACACGGATTACATTATGATTGTTTATTTATATAGGTGAAAATTGTATTGAGTGAATTTTTATCGTTAATCTACACACATCAATGTGTGCGTGTGTGTATTTTTGTGTGTATATGAATTATAAAGATTTACCTACTGTACTCTCTAACAATGGTAAATTAGACTAACCTCCCTGAGGTAAAGGGTAATTACAAAACAACCCTTATATTTAAGAAATTACATCCAAACTCCCGTAGTTTATAAATTTCTTGAATCAAACCCCTATTGAAATTGGAGGGGTTTTGTCTGTAAATAGGTTTTACCTCAAGGTGACGATTGTAATTTATCCCATAAACAACTCTATACTGAATTATACTTGAAAAAGTAAATGATTATTCACCATTTATATTTTTCATAAGAAGAAAAGACAAATTCCAATTAACTAAAATTGTTTCCAATTTTTCAAAAATAGAAAAATCCAAACTTGTCTTTTTTTATTTTCCAGCTACGAATTTCATTTTTAGAATTTCATCCATCCATTATCATTCACATATTTATATCTTCATAAATAAATAAATAAATAATATGGTAAATTATAACCACACCTAAGGTATGGTCAAATTACGAAAAAATCCTTCATGTTTGGATAACTACACCACCCTCATCAACTACGAGTCTACTTACACGTCTACCCTTATGATGTCAAATTCAACATAATCTTTCAGATTCGGTGGAATGTTCTCTAGTTTGTACTTGTTTTGTGCAATAATACAGTTTATGATACATCACAATCTGATATTTTAAATGTCAACAGACAGATCTTATAATCATCTTGTTTCAGAATGTGGAGCTCGAATGGGGTAAAACGAGTACAAATTGGAGAATATCCACATAATTCCACTAAATTTGGCACTGCAAGGGTGGACGAGTAAGAAGATTTATAGTTGAAGGGGGCGTTTGTAAGTACTCAAACAAGATGGTTTTTTTTTTTAATTTAAGTTGTAAATAAATAAATAAATAATTAGATTTCAATTGAAATGGGAGTCCCACATAAACACCACACTCTTTTACAGCTCACTACTCTGCCCACTGATCTTCTTTTTGGAAATTAATTTTTAACTTTTTTTTAACCGATAAATAAATAAATATATGATGCAGTACTGAAATCTCGAGCTCAATCCCCATCTCCTCTAATGGCGATATCTCCAATTACAACCATTTCTACCATCTTTTTCTGTACATTGTTTCTTACGCCTTCTTCAATTGAAGCAGCAGAGCAGAGGAAAACCTTCATAGTCCGTGTCAAGCACGAAGCGAAACCTTCCGTTTTCCCCAATCATAGTAATTGGTATGAATCTTCTCTGAGATCCATCTCCGCCGCTTCCGTCGGCGTTATCCACTCGTACGACACCGTTTTCCATGGTTTCTCCGCCAGTCTATCGGCTTCGGAAGCTGTCAAGCTGGAAAGCCTGCCTGGGATAATCGCGGTGATTCCGGAGCAAGTGAGGCAACTGCACACCACGCGCTCGCCGGAGTTTCTCGGCCTGAAAACTGGTGATAGTGCTGGGTTGTTGAAGGAGTCGGATTTCGGGTCGGATCTTGTAATTGGAGTTATCGACACCGGGATCTGGCCCGAGAGTGAGAGCTTCAATGATCGAGACTTAGGTCCTGCTCCGGCGAAATGGAAGGGCGAATGCGTCGCTGGTGCGAATTTTCCGGCGAGTACGTGTAATTTGAAATTAATCGGAGCTAGGTATTTCTGCAACGGATACGAAGCAACAAACGGTAAAATGAACGAGACTACTGAGTTCCGTTCGCCTAGGGATTCCGACGGTCATGGCACCCACACGGCCTCAATTGCCGCCGGAAGGTACGTGTTTCCAGCTTCGACTCTCGGCTACGCTCGTGGCATGGCGGCTGGAATGGCGCCCAAGGCTCGGCTCGCGGCTTACAAAGTCTGCTGGAACGCCGGCTGCTACGACTCCGACATCCTCGCCGCCTTCGACGCCGCCGTAGCCGACGGTGTCGACGTCATCTCCCTCAGCGTCGGCGGAGTGGTCGTGCCCTACTACCTCGACGCCATAGCCATCGGCGCGTTCGGCGCTTTCGCCGCCGGAATATTCGTCTCCGCCTCCGCCGGCAACGGCGGCCCCGGCGGATTAACGGTGACAAACGTCGCTCCCTGGGTTACAACCGTCGGCGCGGGTACCATGGATAGGGATTTCCCCGCTGAAGTCAAGCTCGGCAACGGCAGAATAATTCCCGGCGTAAGCGTCTACGGCGGACCAGCCCTAGCGCACGATAAGCTCTACCCACTAATCTACGCCGGCAGTGAAGGCAGCGACGGTTATTCCTCTTCCCTCTGTCTAGACGGTTCATTAGACCCAAATGTGGTCAAAGGCAAAATAGTACTCTGCGATAGAGGAATCAACTCCAGAGCTGCAAAAGGTGAAGTGGTGAAGAAAGCCGGCGGAGTTGGTATGATTCTAGCCAACGGAGTCTTCGACGGAGAAGGCCTCGTTGCCGACTGCCACGTCTTGCCGGCGACGGCTGTCGGAGCTTCCGCCGGAGACGAAATCAGAAAGTACATCCAATTATCTCAGAAATCGAATTCAAAATCTCCGCCGCTCGCAACGATAATATTCCGTGGGACCCGCCTGAACGTTGCTCCGGCGCCCGTTGTCGCCTCCTTCTCCGCCAGAGGCCCGAATCCAGAAACCCCCGAAATTTTAAAGCCCGATCTAATCGCACCGGGTTTGAATACGAAAGGAATTCCTGTTGTGGAGTTATAATTCCCCTGCACTGCGTCTTCAAAAACCCCTTTCTTTTTTTCTTTTT